TCATGGAGAGTCTGCTTCTTCCTCTTCTGCTGCTCCCCCTTCTCCTGTGTGGGCTCTCTCAAATGAATACATAAAATCTATAAAAATACATAAATAAATATTTTTGAAAAGAGAAAGGACCCACAAAAGTCATAGTGAAGCTCTGGTACCAGGGACTGTGGCCACAGACTACCTTCCTCAGCCTCATTACCCCCCAGCAAAGTCCAAACCCCATCAGGCCTACACAGACCTGCCTCCGCTGGATTGCAATCCTGTGTCTCCCATGCCCCCTCTGCGCTAGCCATGTGGCTACTCTTGCCCATTCTCTCTGAAGAGCCCCAACTCTGTCCTGCCTTCCAGGCTTGGGCAGAGTGCAAATCCTGCTTCTCCAACTCATCCACACTTTGCTCTGTCACCTACCAGAGGGCAGTAATAAAATGAGTGATAAATATGGTATACTGTGTTAATGTAAAGTTGCTCTGGTCTCAGTGGCTCAGCTGATGGACCACCTTCTCCACCAACTCCTGAAGGCAAAGGTTGAGAAAACCAGTAGGAATTCTGTCTCCCACTGGATTCTGGGCCCTCTGTACACCTCTTACTTGCCCTTAATCTCTTCTCCTCCACAAGAGACTTCCTTCTGTAGAGAAAAGTCAATAAAACAAGTCAACACAAATGTAATCTAAAAAGTAAAAGGTGTCAGGAAGAACATAAGCAGAGAGGACTTGAGAGAGCTATCTGAGGCTGTTTTAGTTGAGGTGGGCGGGGAAGCCTCTTTGAGGAGCTGATGTTAGAGTTGAGGCCCCATCTGTCATCTGGGGGAAGGATATTCCAGATAAGGCAAAGACTCAACCATGTAATTCAGGGGTCAATGAACCACAGCCTGGAGGCTAAATCTGGCTTTCTGCCTCTTGATAAAGTTTCTTGGAGGGGTGCCTGGCTGACCGGCTCAGTTGTTAGAGCATGCAACTCTCAACCTCAGGGTCATGAGTTTGAGCCCACATTAAAAAAAGAAAAAAAAGTTTTAAGTGAGTACAGCCAACCATGTCTTTCTATATATTCTTTCTGAATGCTTTCATGCTACAACTGCAGAGCTGAGCAGCTGCAACAGAGACCATATGGCCAACAATACCAAAAACATTCACTACTCAGCCCTTTGCAGAAAAAATGTTCTGGCCTCTGTTGTAGAGATTTTTTCACTGGTGCAAAATAATCCGCTATGTGAATAGAGCACAATGTATCCCTTCTTCTCCAGTAGGTGTCTGGCCTGAGCATCCCTAAGTGGGGAGATGTTAGGCCTGGGGTGTGCAGATGTTCAACTGAACCAGAAGATGCCAAAATGTTTTCCAAAACTCAAATATCCACAAATATTTCCCACAAAAAGTTTTAATATTTTGTGTTTGGCTTCAAGTCACAGATACATCTGGAGTTGATTTTTGAGTGTCATACAGCCACAGTAGATCTTCCTACAGCCCCAATAGCTCTGCTTCTTTTTATTTTTAATATTTTATTTCTTTATTCATGAGAGACACAGAGAGAGAGGCAAAGACATAGGCAGAGGGAGAAGCAGGCTTCCTGCAGCCTGATGTAGGTCTAGATCCTAGGACCCCTGGATCATGACCTGAGCCAAAGGCAGATGCTCAACCACTGAGCCACCCAGGCATCCCTGCTTCTTTTTAATAACATTTTTTATTGATGTATAATTCACACAGCATAAAACCCAACCATTTAAAGTACATAGTTCAGAGCAGCCCCGGTGGCACAGCGGTTTGGCGCCGCCTGCAGCTCGGGGTGTGATCCTGGAGACCTGGGATCGAGTCCCACATTAGGCTTCCTGCATGGAGCCTGCCTCTCTCTTGCTCTCTCTGAATGAATACATAAATAAATCTTAAAAAAATAAAGTACATAGTTCAGTACTTTTTAGTATATTCACAGGGTTGTGAAACCATCACCACTAATTCCAGAACATTTTCATTACCTTCAAAAGAAACCTCATGTGTATTAGCTGCACTTTCCATTCCTCCTCCTTCCAGCCCCTGGTAATCACAACAGTTTGGCTTCTAGCTAACTTACTTTTTAAATTTAGATTTACCTCAGTGCCATTTGGAACAAAAGTTTCTGCTGCTTACAAAATGTTTGGAGAGGGGATCCCTGAGTGGCTCAGTGGTTTAGTGCCTGCCTTCCACCCAGGGCATGATACTGGAGTCCCAAGATCAAATCCCAGGATCAAGTCCTCCATTGGGCTCCCTGAATGAAGCCTGCTTCTCCCTCTGCCTGTATCTCTACCTTTCTCTGTGTGTGTGTCTCTCATGAATAAATAAATAAAATCTTAAAAAAAAAAAAAAAGTTTGGAGACCTTTGTCTAGTACCAGACTGCCTCCCAGTGGATCTAGCATTCAAGTTGCCTAAAGATGATGCCTTTCACTCTGGCTCTAGAAACAAACTAAGTAAATGTTCTCTCAATAGCAATTTCCTAGGGTTCCTAGCAGTTATAAATGCATAAATAAGGCCAAAACATCAGGTCAATTTCAGCTACTAAGAAAATGAGCCAGGGAACTCAGTCAGTATAAGTGCATAACTTACAAGATGAAGAATAAGCCCTCAGCACTTGGATTTTATTTTCCCATCTGTGGCTTCTGCACACAGCAAGCACTTGCTTGAATACCATACTCAGGGACCAGCAGCTAAGGGGAGAGGAGATGGAGGCATGGAACCATGGACCACCCAGCTAGGTAGCCCCCTGAAAGTTTCTAATTCCATGCGTAGTTTTATTTTCTCTAAGGCACTCACACTGCCAGCAAGCATCTGCTTTACTTGTTTACCTGTGTGTAAACTGCGAGCCCTCCAAGTCCAAAGTCCCATCAGTCCTGCTCACTGATATGCTCCCTCATTCCCCACTGCTGTCCAGTGGATAAAGAGCATTCAATCCTAGGCTCCTGGAGCCTCGGTGTCCATCGAAAGATGAATGGATAAAGAAGACGTGGTTTATGTATACAATGGAATATTACTCAGCCATTAGAAATGACAAATACCCACCATTTGCTTCAACGTGGATGGAACTGGAGGGTATTATCCTGAGTGAAGTAAGTCAATCAGAGAAGGACAAACAGTGTATGTTTTCATTCATTTGGGGAATATAAATAACAGTGAAAGGGAATATAAGGGAAGGGAGAAGAAAAAGACTCCTAACTCGGGGAAACGAACTAGGGGTGGTGGAAGGGGAGGAGGGTGGGGGGTGGGGGTAAATGGGTGACGGGCACTGAGGGGGGCACTTGACGGGATGAGCACTGGGTGTTATTCTGTATGTTCGTAAATTGAACACCAATAAAAAATTTATTTATTTAAAAAAAAATCCTAGGCTCCTGGAAGTGAGGTTCGCATCTCCTTTGTTAGGTCCCCAGTCCAACTCACATACTCTTGCTATCCCATCTCAGCATTGGGTAGCTGCAGCCATCCTGTGACCAGTCCCGGAGCTGTGAAACCTCCTTGAAACGTTATCTTATCCTCAATCTGAATTTCAAAAAAATAATAACTTCAATATAAGTATATTCCAAACATGCTATTGTAATGTGCTTATACTAAAATACAGCATTAGTATTTAGAAGAGTATTTAGAATTATAATTTAAATATGTCCCAAATACACTATTGAGACAAATAATAATAAAATAGTTTGTAATTGATTAATTAAATTAAAATTAATTAATTAAAATAGTATTTAGTATTATTATTTAGTATAAGTATATCCCAAATGTGCTAGTGGGATATAGTTATACTAAAAAAACTATTCTTCTGAAATTCAAATTTAACTAGGAGCTGTCCCGTATTTTTGCTAAATTTGGCAACCCTACTCTGACACATACATGTATCAAAAATTAGTTACGCTAAATATATAGTAAAAGGCTTTTTAAAAGATTTTATTTATTCATGAGAGATACACACAGAGAGAGGCAGAGATACAGGCGGAGGGAGAAACAAGCTCCATGTAGGAAGCCGAAGATGGGACTCCATCCCAGGACTCCAGGATCAGGCCCCCAGCCGAAGGCGTCGCCAAACCACCGAGCCACCAGGACTGCCCAGTAAAAGGCTTTTAAAAATGTAATACATAGAGATACACTTATTCCAAAAAAACTATTTTTTGCTTACCTGGAATTTAAGTGGGCATCTTGCATTTTTATTTACTAGATCTGGCAACCGTACTGTGGACATAGCTACTCTGAGAATTACGAGTACTACTATGAATATATTTCCTAAGTTTTAAAAAATACACTAAATATGAGACACACTAATACTAAAAAAACCTTGTTATGAAATTCAAGTCTAGCTGTGGCTCTTGTATTATTTATTGGCTAAACCTGGCCATTCCTATTCTAGGACATACTCCATTAAAATAGACATATCTTAAACTTTCTTTTTTAAAAATATTTTATTTATTTATTCATGAGAGACACAGAGAGAAAGAGAGGCAGAGACACAGGCAGAGGGAGAAGCAGGCTCCACGCAGGGAGCCCGACGTGGGACTCGATCCCAGGACCCCGGGATCACGCCCTGGGCCGAAGGCAGACGCTGAACCACTGAGCCACTCAGGCGTCCCTAAAATAGACAGATCTTAAAATATGTTAACATAGTCAATGTGAGACTGTTCTGTAGTAAAGCAGACACACACGCACTGTAAACGACGAATTTCCGGCCTGCGGCCGGCCAGCTCCCACAAAGCCAGGGCCTTACAGCAGCGCTCAGGCAGCCCCACCCACTCTCCTTCCTCACCCCGCTCCGACGCGGCGTGCCCCTTTGCCATGGCGACCGAAGCTGTCCGGGGTAATTCGGCGGCACTGCGGAGGCGAAGGACCATCCCACGCCGCTTCCGATTGGCCAGCGAAGCCCGGTCTTTACTACTCCGCCCCCGCGCCGGGGAGTCCCGCGACGCGTGACGCTCCGGAGCGACACTGCGCGGCTCTCTGGGCCAATGGTGGCCTCCCGCGGGGCGCGGGGTTCTGGGAGTTGTAGTCCGCGCGGCAGCGGCCGGACTCGCTCGCCTGCCGAGGCGCCGCCATGATGGAGCGGCCCTGGCCGGAGCGGAGCCCGCGCGCGGTGAGTCCGCCGCGGCCCGTCCGGCCGTCCCGCCGTCCCGCCGCTTGTCCCTCGTCCGTCAGTGCCTTCGTCGGACTTGGCCGGCCGGGGGAAGAGATCGTGGGGGCGGGCCAAGGGCGCCAGAGTCGGCGGGCGCTGGCCGGGATCGCGTTAGAGGAAGCGCGGGTGGAGACGAATCCGGGCTCGGGCAGGAGGCGCATCCCGAGGCCAGCGGCGGGGCCGAACCGGGTCAGGGAAGCCGTCGCGGGGCCCCAAGGTCCCTGGGGATGAGGGAGACGGGCGAGCCTCGCAGGCCACGCGGGGGGACTGAGGTGGAGGTGGGCAGGGGCCCGGGGCGCGCTGTCCCGCTTGGCGGCATCTCCCCTCCCCGTCAGCCGTGGCAGGAAACCTCTCCACCCAGCTTTTCGACTCCAGACCCCACCCCAGGCCTTTCCCAGCCTCCCCACCCCCCCGCCCCAATCCGGCCGCCAGAACCTGACCCAGTGTCAGCGGCACATCTCGGTGTCATCCGCAGGTAAGCCTGGCCTGTCCACGTGGCTTTGAGTCCTGCCAGTGACACTCAGAGACTCCCTAGCATCAATCCAGGTTACCCTCAGAATGGATCTCCAGGACCCCGAAACCACGGCACTGTCCATGTAGGCTTCAAGCCCTACCGTCCCCCCAACACACACACACAACTTCCCGGCGTCCTCATCAGCCAGGGGTCCACATTTGGTCCAGACCCCACAGGAGGACATCGTTCCCCCAACTTGGGCCTCAGACACCCGCCGTAGCCTTAGGTGCCTTCAACTAGGAGTCCCCCTTGGCCCCTTCTAAATCCCCCCCATCATCTCAGCTTCTCCCCACATAGACTTCATCCCAGGACCCTGGAGGGTGCTGAGGGGCTGCAGTTCTTCACCCTGGAGTCTGCCTGGGGCGCACTTCCCTGCTCACCGGAAAGAAGGGTAAGGTCTGAGATCCCAGAGCACGAGGACTGCTTAAATCCGTGGAGCTGCCAAACGAGCCCTTTTACTTTTTCAGAAATACACATGTGAAAGTGTTACTACAGCATAAGAGTATTTTTGCCTGTGGTCTCAGCAGGGGTGACGGAGCTTGTAAATGCCCAGTCAGGCCAGCGGAATCAAGAAGCAGGCTGGAAGACTGCTGGCAGGGCACAGCCCTCGTGAGTCGCCCTCCCTGCTTTTGTACACCTTTCCTTTCTTCCTGATTGTAAAACCCACACACGTGCACATGAAAAGTTCTCCAGAGGATCAAGAAGGAAAAAGTCACATGGAATACTCCTCCACTTTTCACTTGTCATAAGCATTTCCCATGTCATTAAAAATCCTTCCTAAATGTTTTTGTTCTTTTTTTTTTTTTCTTCACATTGAAGGTCACACATGATCAAAATAACCATTTAGGGGAGATTAAGAGAAGTATAAAGAACATAGCATATGGCTGGCTACCAGTGGCCCTTTTTGGGACCCTCATATATCATTTCACATCCCACTTTCCCCTGTACCTCATATCATCCATATGTCATGTGTGCTTCCCTTGCGCATGTTATGTTACTGTGTATTTTGCAGTCAAATTCTCCACCATGTGGTGGGAGGGTAATTGATCTTACCAAGCTTAACTGTTGGGCACTTTTGTTGTGATTCTTGGTGCCTAAATCTTTGTCCCAATTGCAGATAAATTTCACAGCATGCGAACATCCAGAATGATCTTGATATACAAGCTGCCACTTTGCTTTCCAGAAAGGTCGTGCCAGTTTGTACCTTCACTACTGGATCAGCACAGAGTACAAGTATAGAAAAAAATCTCATTTTAATTTTTACAACTTTAACATTTTCAAAATTTTCTTCAGTTATATGTTCAGCGTAGGAAGCTTGGAAAACACACAAAATGCTATTTTTTTTTCACTGCTCTTCCCACTTTCCCTCTGCTTTTAAAGTCTCTACCCCCTTGTCCTCAACTACCTCCTCCCTCAGCCTTAACTTAGTAGAAAAGGCAAGAAAGACAGCATAGCCAGGCAGAGGGCCTCTGTTGCACTATTACATAGCATATCTGGCTGGGTCTAGTTCCTTATTTCAAGTGCTCAGGAGCCACATAATACAGCTGGTGGCTACCAAACTGGATGATATAGATGGAGAGCATTTCCGACCCCATAGGAAGTTCTGCTGGACAGTACTGGTTACTCCACCAAGGCAGGAATCCTATTCCCTTGGATGCTCAGGAAACTGTTAATGACTAAATAAATGAAGGTGGGAGATGTACACTAAGCTAAGTAAGGAAATGAGATCTGATCCCGATCAGGTAAGAGTCATGAAGACAGCATAGTGAAGATGAGATAAGTGTGACAGCCTGAGCCAGAGCATGGTGGCATCCTGGTGTGGTGACAGCTGAGCTGGGATCAACATCAGAGAGGAGTATGGGTGGGAACAGTGGGTAAGGCTCTGTGGTGACCAGTTAGTTCCTCGTCTTCAACACAATGTAGCCCATGAGGGTCATATGGAAGATTAGGTCAGAATGAGATAGGGAGGGCTCAGGTCAGCAACTTGGTAACTGGGGGTCAGGGCAAGGAGGTGGGGAGCTGAGGGGAGTCCTGAGCAAGGTGGTGGCCACCATCTGATGTGGCCACTTTGCGCCTGCCCCTCTCTGCAGACCCCTGACTGCTGACTGCATCTGCCTGCTGCTACCTGTGTTTGGAGCTGCTGGGACTGTCCTGGGATCCAGCCTGCTTGCCCTCTGAGGCCGGAGAGATGCTCCCGTTGGCCAAAGCCCTTGCCTCCCCCAGGAGTCCCCAGACCTCAGCCCTGGGGGAGCAGGACAGGGCTTCTCAGCTGGCCAGCCCCGGGGATGCTGAGGCCTGGCGCCTGCGTTTCCGACAGTTCCAGTACCGCGTGGCAGGTGGGCCACACCGTGCACTGGGCCAGCTCTGGATGCTGTGCCGCCAGTGGCTGCGGCCTGAGGCACACTCCAAGGAGCAAATGCTGGAGTTGCTGGTGCTGGAGCAGTTCCTGGGTGCGCTGCCCAGCAAGATGAGGACCTGGGTGCAGTCGCAGGGTCCTCGCACCTGCAGAGAGGCCGCTAGCCTGGTGGAGGACCTCACACAGATGTCGCAGCAGGAAGGTGAGGGGACGGGCCTCACCCCTAAGAGCGAGTGGCTGCCGGTTGGGGGGAGCAGATGCCGGGTTTGGGTTCTGGCCAGTGACTCCGTGGCCCGGTGCCCAAGGATGGCGCTTCTTTTTCCTTTTGGACTCAGAGTGTCGCATCCACCCAGCCCTGCTCCCACCCCCCCCACACACACCCGCTCCTGTCCCGTTCCCTCTCCCGATCAGCAGCGCCCAGGCCATCCGAGCAAACCTCTTCCCTGCACATGTCCTGCCAGTGCACATTGTCTTCTCACACACCTGTGTTTTTGTTGTACATAAATGTCATTGTGCTGCACGTCTCTGTCTGCCTCACTTCTCTTGCTCAGTTGGTAATTTAGGATTTCTCCATTTTACCATGTGTCCATCTGGCCTGTGGCTTCGCATTTGTCTGCTCTCCCTCAGGAGGACCCCAAATGAGGTGCTGTGGACCACACCCCCCACCCCAGGCCCTGTCCAGAAATCCCAGAGCTTGCCCGTTTCTCTCCTGCATCCAGTCCCAGAGGCCCAGGGGCCAGTTGTGGGGACTCATGCCTGGGTCTGCAGCTGTCACAGAACAGGTGTTGGTGAGAACTCAACAGAGGAGTCTTGTGTAGCTGCAGGGTCTGCAGACAGAGCTGACACTGCCTCTCTACTTTGGCTCCCCTCTCTCCTTCAGGGGCTCTGTCCTCATGCCTTCTTGCCCCTGTAACCCTGTGTAGAACTGCCATCTCCCCAGGCTCCCTCACTCCTAGTAATGTCAACAGAAGTGCAGACCCCCATCACAACATCTGTAGGTCAACCCTCAGGGCCTGGCTTAGGTGCTGTGATCAGAATGTCTTCAGGCCCTAGCTGCAGAAAAGCCTTGAAATCTAAAGAAAGTTTTCTCGGGTCTCCATACTGCCCGCAGGGAAGCTGGCCGACATGCCCAGGAAAGTTTTGCATGTCACATTTTGCAAAGGCAAGAGCATTGTCCAAGTTGGAAGGCACTGGATGGCATCATGGAGTCTTGTTCCCAGGTTCCTGTGGAATCATGAAGATGTGCAAGGCAGATAAAGTGGCTCTTGGAACTCACTGTTCCAGGGACTAAGGGGCCCACAAGTTTTTACATCTGGCCCTTGGTGGAACCATGCACACCCTAGGGCCTCAAGTTAGGAGGCCCAGGCTGGCATTAATGCTTCACTGTTGCCATCTTGAGGTTCCCTATCATTTTTTAGCAAAGGGATCTTGTACGTGTTTTACATGGGGCCAACTTGTGGTCCTGTGGACAGTGAGGCAGTTGGAGCAGCAGGTGACTGGACCTGATGAGGCATCTCTACCTCTCACATGAATGCCTGGAAGTCAGGGACACAAGCAGGAGGCATCTGCATGCTGCTGCCTCAAGATTGGGCTTCATTCCTCGGGAAGGAAAGCTCCCAGGGGGTGAGGAGTGGGAAGGGTTAGGATGAGATGTGCACTGAGGGAAGGAAGCCTGGGGCTTGGCTAGAGCAGGGCTGTGGGCTGGGTGCCTGAAGCCCAGATAGAATCCAGCAGGAGCCTGGCTCTCCTCTTTTCTGGGTGGCCCTCTGGAGTCACTATGGTGCAAGCGCAGGGGGAAGATAGACCCAATATTTCCACTTGGAAGTCCCTGATGGCTGGTGTCTGGAAAAATAACTGAATAGGTCTCTTAGTCCATGATATATCCCTCCCTCTGGCCCAGCATTGAACCTGGGTGCCAAGGAGTGTTGTGATCACTACAGCCTATTTATTGATAGTGATGCTCTTGGGCACAAGAGGGAGAGTACTGGGAGAGAGAGTGTACACCTGGGGCTCTACCTTTATTGGGCCTGACTAGGGTCTCCGAGGTATACTCTTTATTGGCTAACTTAAAGCAGAAGAGTGGGAATTAGGATGTGAGAAGGGAGAATTTGGTCACCCAAACTGTCAGTTATCAAGACGACCCAAGGCTTCCTGAATGAGGGACCTCCATGAGTGGGGGAAGCCCAATTCCTTATCTTTTTTTTTTAAGATTTTATTTATTTATTCATAAAAGGCACACACACAGAGAGAGGCAGAGACACAGGCAGAGGGAGAAGCAGGCTCCATGCAGGGAGCCTGATGTGGGACTTGATCCCAGGACTCCAGGATCATGCCCCTGGGCCAAAGGCAGGTGCTAAACCACTGGGCCACCCAGGGATCCCCTTATCTGTTGTTGTTGGTTTTTTTTTTTTCGTGTGTGTGTATGTGTGTGAGTAGCTGTGTCATACAGCAGAAATTGTTTATTCCAGATGGAGGTCTTTGAAATGGATGCCTCAGCAATCAAAAGGTTGTTAGCCTCAGCGCTCTGCTCTTCCCACACTCATCATCCTATCCTCTAACCACACAGCAGCAGAGGGTCAGCTCCTCCCATGCCAGCCCTGCAGTGGATCCCTGTCCTGGCTATGTACCTTTATCATCTGCCTCCAGGGCCTCACCTCCCTATAGCCCTGCAGCCTTGGCCCTCACTGGGTGCAGGGGTAGCCAGCTCATCATCTAGACCTGGCTCAGACATCCATATCCTCTGAGAGGCTACCACACAGGACCCTACTTGTGTTCTCCAGGGTCCTCACCCCTCTGTGATATTTATAGCATTTATCCTTTCCTTGCATGCCTATTCTCTGTCCTAGTTTATATGAGCTTCACATAAACTTCTTGCAGAGCAAGAGTTCTGCATCCACTTTCCATGGTTTCTGGACAGTGGGTAGTACCAGATACCTAGTGGGTGCATAGCCAATACAGAAGGGAAGGGGTGGGTGAACAGAATTAGCAGGAAGAACCAAGGTTGGGTGTTTGGCAACTAGCAGGCACTAGTTGGGTATACTGTACAAACTAAGGGTGCAACTTTATTCTTTTGCATGTGGCTTACCAATTGTCCCATCACCACTGTTGAAAACACCCTTCTTTCCCCTACTGAATGGTTCTGGTATTTGGCCATGCATATATATGGGCTTAGTTCAGGACTCTCAATTCTTTCCCATTCTGTATGTCTATCTTTATGCCAGCACTGTAGCTCTGTAGTAAGTTTTGAAATCAGGGCATATGTGTCTTCCAACTCTGTCCTATTTTAGGATTGTTTGGGCTCTTCTGGGTCCCTTGGAATTCCATATAAATTTTAGGACAAGCTTTTCCATTTCTGCAAAAAGAAGAGAAAATGGCTTTTGATAGGGATTGCATTGGGCCTGTAGATCACTAAGAGTGTTGCCATCTTAATGATATTAAGTCTTCCATTCCATGAACACAATGTATTTATTAATAACAATAATTAATAATAATGTTATTTTTAAAATTTTTCTTTAACTCCTTTCAGTAATAGTTTTCCAGTTTTCAGTGTACAAGTCTTGTATCTCTCAGGCTAAATTTATTCCTAAGTATCTTATTCTTTTTGATTCTGTAAGTAAAATTGATTCTTTCATTGTAAATGAAATTTTTTGTGCTTCCTTTTTGGGTTGTTCATTGCTGTTTTACAGAAACACAGCTAATTTTTATGGGTTGATATTGTACCCTGTAACTTTGCTGAATTCACTTATTAGCTCATGCCATCTGTGAATAGGGATAATTTTTCTTTTTCCTTTCCAATTTATTTATTTTTTAACAGATTTTATTTTCAGGTAATCTCTACCCTCAAGGCGGGGCTCGAACTCACAATCTCATCTTCCTTTCCAATTTAGATGACTTTTTTTCTCTTGCCTACTTGCTCTTGCTAGAACTTCCAGTACAATGTTGAATAGAAGTGGTAAAAGTAAACATCCTTTCCTTATTCTTTATTGGAAGTAAGTTTTCAGTCCCTCATAATTATGATATTTTTACCATTAAGGGCATTAGATTACAACAAATGGTTTTTCTGTCAATTGAGATGATCATGTGGTCTATTAATATGGTGCATCACGTAGCTTGATTTTGATGTGTTGAACCACATGACAGTTTGATTATAGTGTGTTTCAGTGTGGATCTCTTTGAGTTCATCTTATTGGGAGTTTGTTCAGCTTCTTTGAATGTGTAGATTCAAATATTTCATGTATTTTAGGAAGTTTCCAACCATTGTTTTCTTTCAAATATTTTGTCTCTGTCTTCTCCTTTTGGAATTCCCATTATATGTCTGTTGGTGGATTTTATGTGTCCCACAAATACCTTAGGCCCTGTTCATTTTTCTTCTACTCTGCAGACTATAATTTTAATTGACCTATCTTCAAACTTACTGATCCTTTTCTCTGCCAGTTTAAATTTTTTTTTTTTTTATTTATGATAGTCACAGAGAGAGAGGCGCAGAGACACAGGCAGAGGGAGAAGCAGGCTCCATGCACCAGGAGCCCGATGTGGGATTCGATCCCGGGTCTCCAGGATCGCGCCCTGGGCCAAAGGCAGGCGCCAAACCGCTGCGCCACCCGGGGATCCCTCTCTGCCAGTTTAAATCTGAGGTTAAACCCCTCTAGCAAATTTTTCATTTTAGTTATTGTACTTCTCTGCTCCAGAATTTCTATTTGGTTCCTTTATATAATTTCTCCTTGATATCCTTTATTTGTTTTTTTTATTTTTTTTTAATTCATTCATTAGAGACACAGAGAGAGGCAGAGACATAGGCAGAGGGAGAAGCAGGCTCCATGCAGGAAGCCTGATGTGGGACTTGTTCAGGATCATGCCCTGGGCTGAAGGTGGCACTAAACCCCTGAGCCACTTGGGCTGCCCTCCTTTATTTGTTGAGAACATCATTCTCCTGGTTTTTTATAGCTCTTTGTTCATGGATTCCTTTAGCTCTTTGAAGTTATTTAAGACAGTTGATTTAAAATCTTTGTCTAGTAAGTCGAGTGTCTGGGCTTCTTCATGGACAGTTTCCATTCATTTCTTCTTATTCCTGTAAATAAGATATACTTTCTTGGGTCTTTGCATGCCTCTTAATTTGTTGTTGGGAACTGGGTATTTTTAATATTTGATAATATAACGTGATAACTCTGGAGATCAGATATCTTCCCTCCCCAGGGCTGGTTTATGCTGCTTACTGTGGGTTGTAATTGTTTATTTTGGAAACTTTCTTTCTTTCTTTCTTTCTTTCTTTCTTTCTTTCTTTCTTTCTTTCTTTCTTTCTTCTTTCTTTCTTTCTTTCTCTTTTCTTTCTTTCTTTCTTTCTTCTCTTTTCTTTCTTTCTTTCTTTTAATTTTTATTTATTTATGATAGTCACAGAGAGAGAGAGAGAGGCAGAGACATAGGCAGAGGGAGAAGCAGGCTCCATGCACCGGGAGCCCGACGTGGGATTCAATCCTGGGTCTCCAGGATCGCGCCCTGGGCCAAAGACAGGCGCCAAACCGCTGCGCCACCCAGGGATTCCCCTTCCTTCCTTCCTTCCGTCGGTCCTTCCTTCCTTCCTTCTTCTTTTTCTTTCTTTTAAAGATTTTATTTATTGGGATGCCTGGGTGGCTTAGTTGGTTAAGTGTCTGCCTTTGGCTTAGGTCATGATCTCAGGGTCCTGAGATTGAGCCCCACATCAAGCTCTCTGCTCAGTGGTGAGTCTGCTTCTCCCACTCCCTCTCCCTCTGTGATCTCTTTAAGAGAGATAGAGAAAGTAAGAGAGCACACAAATGCGGTTGGGAGGGGGAGAGGGAGAGGGAGCAGCAGACTCCCTGCTGAGCAGGAAGCCTGATGCAGGGCTCAATCCCAGGACCCCAGGATCATGAGGTGAGTAGAAGGCAGATGCTTGACCAACAGAGCCACCCAGGTGCCCTATTTTGGAAACCTAACTATTCTTGTAAATACTACATTCTTTGTTGTGTGTTCTCACTAAAGTTTCTGTTTCATTAATTTAGTGGCTACCTAGTGATATGCATTTCCTTAAATGCATGGAGCCAACAAAACACTCCTCGTCTTTGTAGGTTAGCTCTGAATTGAGGTACTCCTTCAATGCTTAGCCTCTCCATATACAACTCTCCTGAGCCTTCACTTCTGGGTTACAGGGGGGCCTAAAGATCAATCAGAGATGAAAGCTTGGGAACTTTTCATGTTTTCTACTATGTGTTTAGCCCTGATTATATGCATGGCCTGCTAGACTCCCCAGTAAAAGCCCTTATTCCCACATGTACCTCTTTCTCCAGCCTCTTCTTTCCTAGGGTTCTTGGTATCTCTGCTGCTTGCTCCATCTGTTATCCCTGCTTCAGGTGGTTGTGGCTAGTATATGCCTGCATTTATTTATTTATTTATTTATTTATTTATTTATTTATTTATTTATTTATTTTTAGTATATGCCTTTAAATGCTTTTGACAAATGCTGCTCTGGAGGCCACTCCAGTCCTGAAGGTTCTGAGAGGGCATAACAAAGGTAAACCCCTGAACCAATCCTTCAGGGAGTCACCAGACAGGTCACCAGACAAACACGCAAATGTAATGCTTTGGGAACAAGATCTGCCCCCTATGGCTTCAGCAAGCCATACCAGTTCCACGGACTGTCATCCACACAGCCCCTCCTACCTTTGGAATGGGGCTGGTAGGCAGGTAAGTAAAAATGCCACAACACCTTCTGGTTGAAATTTAATAGCTTCTTTTTTCATTAAGCATTCCCTCCTCCTTGTAAGTTCTTGGTTTTTTGTTTTTTGTTTTTTTTTTTTTTTCAGATTCAAGTTCCCAAAAGTTATCTCTAAAAATTTTTTCAGAGATAAAGGCTGGCTAATTGTTGTTTCAGTAGAGATACTGATTTTGAGAGCTCCCTACTCTGCCATTTTTGGTGATGTTACCTTCCTGTTTGCTTTTAAAAATAATGTTATTGAAACAGAGTTCCCATGCCATATAATTCACCCATTTAAAAATATACAATTCAGTGATTTTTAGTATATTCACAGAGTTGTGCAACCATCATCACCACCTAATTCCTGAACATTTTGTTCGCCACAAAAGGAAACCTCAGACCATTAGCAGTCACTCCCCATTCTCCTCTCTCCCCCAGTCCCTGTAGCTTTCCCCCAGATCACTAATCTACTTTTTGTCTTTATGGATTTGCCTGTTCTGTACATTTCATATAAATGAAGTCATATGTGGCCTTTTGTGTCTGGCTTCTCTCACTTAGCATAAAGTTCTCAACGTTCATCTATGTTGTAAAATCTATCAGTACTTCATTCTTTTTATGGCTGAAAAATATTCCATTGTATGGATATACCAGTTTGTTCCTTCATTCATCATTTGATGGACCTTTGGGTTTCCACTTTTTGGCTATGATGAACAATGCTATGAACGTTCACATACATATATTTGTGTGGACATGTTTTCATTACTCTTGGGAACACCTAAGGAGGTGAAGTGCTGGGTCATATGGTAACTCAACATATAACTTTTTGAGGAACTGTCAAAGTGCCTTCCAAAGCAACTGTTTGCTTTTTATATGACACTTTTTCAGCCTATAAAAGTGTATGGAAAATATTATAATGAACACGCATATAACTTCCATGAAGCCATCTCAGAGCCTAACCTCCTGAAAGGCAGCTTTAGGTTATTTAGAGAAATGACACACTGGGTCAACAGTGCAGGTCTCCTCCACATTCCTCTTTCTCTCCCTGCTGCCCCAGAGGGGGGAAAGGCCTTGAATTTCTCATTGCATGTGCATGTTTGTCCTTTTCCCTCTTATTTTGTAACAGTGTATGGCTCTGTTTCCCATGTCCTAAACCTATAAATGGTGTGCCTTTGTAACTGCTATCCTGCCCTGGCTTTTGTCCCCCTACAATATGTTCTGTGGTAGATCCATGGGGCCTTGCTTCAACCATCTTTGCTACCTTACTGCATTCCACTTCAGGAAGATTCCAGTTGTGGGATGAGACCCCTGTCCAGGCTTTCTGAGTTAATCAGTGCTGCAGGAAATGTCCTCATGGGCCTCTCAGGGGCACAAATGGGCGTAGAGTGTTAGGTGAGAAGATCTGTCCTCAGCTGCCTCTTATGTTACCATGGCCTCATGCCTGGCAGCCATGGAAAGGTCTGGATCAGGAGGATGGGGCTGCAGTTAGAAGCTTGTTGGAAGATAAAGGCAGTGGCATACTATTGCTCTTGCCTTGGCCTTACTGGGGTTCTTCAGAGATGCTCCTGGGATGTGTTATCCTCCTTGTGCAGGAAATCTGGGGATTTGGGGGCTCTGAGTCACACAGGCCTCTCACCATCCCTTTCTCCCGCCCAGTTCTGGTATCTCTCACCGACCACCAGGACAGGAGCATCAGCGAGGAGGAAGACGGGAAGAGTCTGAGGTCCCAGAAAGACCTATCCCAGGTGAGCCCAGGGCCCCTGGCTCCATGCTCCTACATCCCTGGGGCACCATGAACATCAGTGCTGTGACAGGTTGAAGGACATCCCATCCAAGCTCTGTGCAAGGCTCTCCCCCAAATTCCCAGGAAGCCTGAACTCCACACCTCCAACCTATCCCACAAATCCCAAAATTTGCTGCAGCTCAGTGCTGGGCAAAATACAGTTAGTAGGGCTGTGATCTGCTGCAGACCCCCTAGACATCATCTTCATCTCCCTCCACCCAGGTCATCTGCCAGTCCTTTACCAGTCAGCAGCCAGATGCTGAGGTCCCCATCCTCGTATATAATCCACAACTGCATGCTGAGTATATCAAAAGATTTCCAGTGCTGCCATTCCAGGTGCTACCACACAGAAGCTTGGGTGTCCTGGCTCAGATCCCATCTGTAGTATTAGTATCTGTAGTAGTGTTTTACCTGAGAACACTGTGGATTCTTGGAGAGGCTGGGAAAGACTCCAAGAGGGCATCCCCAACAGCAAGATCTGTTTTTGCAAAGGGCCCAAGTGAGAGGGGATCATGGTTTATGATGGAAACTTGGCTAGAGCTCACAGAGTGATGGGGAAAGGCCCCCCAGCAGGGACTGGAGTGATTAAAACAGATTTGTTAACAGGCAAAACACAAAATAAACAAAAACCAAACCACATTCCCTTCCCTCTGGCATCAAGTAGATTCACAGCACCTTGTTCTCACCTCCCATCACCTCTGTGACCTCCCCCTTCTTCAGACCAAAAGCCCCTCTGTCTCCCACTAATTTGCCACTCTCTCGAATGTTTAACCCCCAACTCTAAACCCCTGTCAGGATCTTCATCCCTTGCACATCACTGTCAGTCTGGGTGTCCTTGAGACATCCTACCTCTCAGTTGGGGTCGTGTGGCCTTCCTCATGACCTATACTGCCATCTTCCCCTCCCATGTGCCTCCACACCATTGGCGAGCAACCTCAAAGCATCTGTGGCTCCCTTTTATTTTCTATGTCCATGCTCAGAGAGCATAAGGACAGGAGGCATGTGCTTCCCTTTTAAAAATGGGAATTTTACAATGAGCACATGGAAAGATGCTGAAGATCACTAGCCATCAGGGAAATGCAAATTAAAACCATGATGAGATATCACTGCACACCTACTGCAATGGCTAAAAGTAGAAAGAGGGACAGCACCACGTGCTGGCAAGGGTGTGGAAAAACTGGAACTGTTTCATTACTGATAGGAATGCAAAGTGGTAAAATCAATTTAGAAAATGGTTTGGTTGTTTCTTACAAAGTTAAATATAAACATGATGTATGACCTAGCAATCCCACTTCTGGGATTGGATGTTTACCCAGATGAAACAAACATTTATGTTCCTACAAAAACCTGTACACAAATATTCATAGCAGCTTTGTTTGTAGTAGCCCAAAACTGGAAACAAGCCACATACCTGTGTGATTGGATAAACAATCATTTATCCTGCACACCATGGAATACTACCCAGCAATATCATGGAAGAAACTCTTGATTCACACACAACTTGGATGGATCTGAAGGGCACTGTGCTGTCAAAACAGTTAATCTCAAAAGGTACATGCTATGAAATCCCATTTATATGACATTCTTAAAAAGACAAAATGATGGCCACAGAGAATAGATCAGTGGTTTCCAGGCAAGAGTTCTGGGCAGAGGGAGAATGTGAGTAGACAGAGGTAGCATGAAAGAGTTTTCCCTGGGTGATGGAATCATTCTGGTCCTAATTATGGTAGTAGTTTCACGAATCTATATATGTGCTAAAATTCACAGACCTGGACATGAACGCACACACACACACACACACACACACACACACACACTCTTATATAATTAAAATTAAGAAAAATGAAGGAACTACTAAAAAGTGATAATATTTTCCATCAAGCCAAAGTCTAGTCCGTTCTTTGTCCCCAGAGACCACCCCTCCTTATGATGCTGGGGTCTGGTATCATTTTGAGGTTTTCTGATTTGCATGGCCAGTTTTTGAAAGACCCACTAGTTTGTATTCTGTTTCTTCTTTGGCTACTATGTTCTGCCTGGAGGCCATTTTCATTCTTTACTTAATTAATAACAACAGAAAAAAGACATCTAAACAAAAACATGAGACAAAAGATAATACACCCACTGCTCTGCAGAAGAGCTCATCCCACCAAAGAAACACCCGTATACCTTTGTTGCTATCAACAGCAGATCACCTCCATCCTTGAATTCACCTGCATGAATTTCTCTATCTCTGTCCTGTTATGGCTGGGAGAAAAAAAAAAGTTATTCTTATCTTGTTTTAGGCTTGCAAGAGGAAATATCTTCTATTTTTTTTAAGATTTTATTATTTATTTATTTATTCATGATAGTCAGAGAGAGAGAGAGAGAGAGAGAGAGAGAGAGAGAGAGAGGCAGAGACACAGGCAGAGGGAGAAGCAGGCTCCATGCAGGGAGCTCGACGTGGGACTCGATCCGGGGTCTCTAGGATCACGCCCTGGGCCAAAGACAGGCGCCAAACCGCTGTGCCACCCAGGGATCCCAGAGGAAATATCTTCTTATAAAAATTTTTATTGTGGGGATCCCTGGGTGCTGCAGCGGTTTGGTGCCTGCCTTTGGCCTAGGGCGCGATCCTGGAGACCCGGGATCGAATCCCACGTCAGGCTCCCGGTGCATGGAGCCTGCTTCTCCCTCTGCCTGTGTCTCTGCCTCTATCTCTCTCTCTGTGACTATCATAAGTAAATAAAAAAAATTTTTTTTATTGTGGAAAACCAAACATACACCATGTGGTAGGCTGAATAATGCTCCCACCACCCCCCTTTGCCCCACCAAACGTTCCTGTCCTCATCCCTAGAACCTGGGAATGTTACCTTAGGTGGAAAAAGGGGCTTTTTGCAGGTGTACTTAAGGTAGGAACATGAGAAAAAATTACCCTGGTTTATCTGATTGGATTCCAGATGTAATCACGAGAGTCCTTATAAGAGGGAGGTAGAGGAGGTTTAATACACAAGGCAGGACAGTGACCTGGGCACAGAGGCAGTAAAGATGGAGGAAGGGCCAAAAGGCAAAGAATATGGGTGTGTCGAACACCAATAAAAAATAAATTTATTATTAAAAAGAAAAAGGATATGGGTGTGTCTAGAAGCTGAGAAAGCCCAGGAAACAAATTCTCCCATGGAGCTTTCAGAAGGAATGAGCCTTGGTGGACACTAACTTTAGCTCAGAGAAGTTGATTTCAGACTTCTGGCCTTCAGAGCTATAAGAGAAATTTGGGTTTTCAGCCACTAAGTTTCTCATGATTTGCTATAGCAGCCACGGGAAACTAGTACACTACATACACCAAAGTAGAATAAACTAATGGACCCAGGGTTGTAGTAGGACTTCTGTGGGCCCTAAGAATTTTTGTCCCATAAGAATTATATCAAAGTTATACTCATGAGCTTCCACAAAATAGTAAGTTATATTTTATGACCATTTGGTATAAAGATGAACATATTCCAGGCTGGAATAATCACTATATTCTTTTTTTTTTTCTGGCTGATTTTAAAAGACATTAAACATTATTGCAAGAAACTCCTTTCTCCAAAAATTTTCATAGGCCCTGGGCACTGTTTCTGGCACATGATGAAGTCAGCCCCAGATGGGCCGTAAGTGCTTGACACATAGCCAGGTTTGTTGATGGAAAGCTCTCTTCCATCCTGGACTCTCCCCTTAGAAATCACAGATATGCTCACTCGCCATTTCCATGCATTGCAAGTAGAGCTTGCCCTTCAAGGACTTTTTCCCCCCCAATTATATCTATGTTTTTATTTTTATTTTTTATTGAGATATAATTGATATGGAACATTATGTTAGGTATATAACATAATGATTCAATATATGTATATATTGTGAAATGATCAACTACTGTAAGTCTACTTAACATCTAAAGTTACAAATATTTTTTCTTGTGATGAGAATTGTAAGATTTGCTCCCTCAGCAACTTTTAAATACACAATACAGTATTATTAACTATAGTTAAGCAGTACATTATAGGCCTAGGACTTACTTGTTTGACAACGGAAGGTTTGTACCTTTTGACCCCTTCATCTATTATAGCCACACCCACACACCCAAACACCCCTGGCAAACCACCAACACTCTTTTTTTAGACATCAACCCAGCTCTACTGCCTCAACTAAAATCATTAACAGTAATCCCTCATCAGCAGTAAATGGCTGGTTGGCATTCACATTTCCCATTGTTCTTCTTTTCTTTTTCTTGGCTGGTTAGATGACAGATGTGGGTCCCCACATCCCACTCACTGCCCTGCACTGTGCCTGGAATGATCAGAGCCCTGGTCAAAAGGACTTTGGGGGACATTTTTTGTATTTGGAGCTATAGAGAAGGCTCAGAAATGTCCTGGTTTCTGTGCCTGGCCCAAGTGTGTTTGTAATTTTCAGACTTCTCTGGATGGTGGCCCATGCTTCCAAGTCAGGGGAATTAACATGCCCCTCACCACCACACACACAAACGTACACGCACAGGTCCATAGCCTCCCCTCTCAACCCTTCCACCCTCCATTGTCATGGTCACACTTGATGACCAGTGAGACCTGGAGCCCCCCCCCCCACTGCTCATCACCTTCTGGGGGGCTTGTTCTTAGGGACAATGCAGCTGTGAGGGGCAGTTCAGAACCTCACAAGTGATATTGACCTCAGTCCTTACATAGGGCCCAGTGCTCTCTTGTTGCTGTAAAATCATCAGTGGTATTCAAGTAAGGATGTACTATTCAGGGCTTTCCACGGAAACAAAATCAGTAGGATTTATATAGAAATATATAGAGAGACATATTAAAAGGAACTAGCTCACATGATTATGGAGGTCAAGGAGCCCCTGATTTGCTGTCTGCAAGCTAGAGAACACCAAAAAGCTGTCTCCAGGACAGGGAGCTCCATCTCAAGCCCAAAGGTCTAAAGACCACAGGAATCTCAGTCTCAGTCCAAGTCCAAAGCCCAAGAATCAAGAGGGGTCCAATGTCTGAGGGCTGAAGGTGCCTGTCCCAGTTCAAGCAGAGCACAAATGCACCCTTCTGACTTTGTGTTCAACTTGGGCCCTCCACAGATTGGGTGATGCCCACCCACATTGGTAAGGATGATCTTTACTCAGACTGCCGGTATAAATGCTAGTCTTCCCTGGAGACACCCCCACAGATACCAGAAATGAAACTTTACCAGCTACTGGGCCATCCCTTAGCTCAGTCATATTGACTTCTAGAATTAACCATCACAAAGAGGACTTGCGTTTTCATTTTGCACAGGGGGGCCCTTGAATTATTTCTCCAGTCCTAGTAACAGCCCACTGGGAATGTGCATTTGGGGTGTTAAAATTAAATACAAAATAGAGACCAGACTTGAACATTCCCTGAGCTGACAAAACCACGTACAACATAAGTGAGACTTCATTTAGTGTGTTCTGCAAAACAAGTGGAACATAACCTGGGGCACCTCATGCAAAAGCCTCAAGGAAATGATCAGTAAAGAAACTTAAATCACCTTCCTAAACACAGTGTAAGATAATCACTGAGCCAGCCCCTGCTGTCTGGAAACTCCCTCTGTAGTAATGGTCATCCAGGCTTCATATCAGTCTTGGATTTGAAAGCTCCCAGTTCGTAGACTATTTTTATATGCACAATAAACTCTTACTAAATACTGTTTATTGGTTTGGTGGCTTTTTTTTTTTGGCACCTTTTTGTCGGGGAGCAGTGGCTTTAGTTTTGCTATTCCTGGATTTTCTAAAGGAAGCAATGCTGTCCCTCTGCTCTGGTGGCACCGGGTGGATGGCCCTCTGGTGGTTGCTCCAAGCCCTGGGCGGTGTGGGGCAGTTGCTGAGCGGGACTGTGTTTGCCATTCCAGGCATCGGAGCTGGGGCTCCCCCAGGAGGGCGAGTGGCCGCAGCCTGCCCAGCCCCAGCGAAGTCCCCACACCAGGGCGGGGGCGGAGGCATCCTGCACCCTGGGCTCACTCGGTGAGTGTTTGGGTCCTACAGCAATCCTAAGGGCTGGGAAGGTTTAGACTTTGCTGATGGCAGTGTTGGGGGGGTTTGGTGATGAACTCTGTACCTTCCCCCAGAAACTGGGCCCACCAAAGTGGGGACTGATAGCACCCCCACCCCCACCCCGTCCTGCAGCAGCCACTCAAACATTTCCACCCCTTGACCAGGGCTTCGGCCTCCTAGCATGAAGGCAGACACACAGAAGATGCTGCAGCATGGGGTCCCCTCAGCTGCCTGCCCAGGTGAGGACAAGGGGGTCTGGGGTGTGGGATCTGCCTCCCAACCCCACTTACCCTTTATCTTAGTAGAGGAAAGCATTGAGGGCACTAAGGCTCTACTAAGTACAGGCAGCTGGCTGCCTGTTCTTCTGTGTGTCCCTGGGGGGAGAAGGGGCAGGGAGGTGCCCAGGGTGTGGCCTGGTCCCTGCCCTCTCCCTAACAATTAACGCTTCTCCCTCACCCTCCCCAGGCCTGGGCTGCTTGCCTCTGAAGCCTAGCGTCTGGGATGAACCTCCCTGTGGGCAGACTGGGGACAGAGCCCTGAGGAACAGACACTCCCTCCCCAGGCTGGCCCAGGACACACCTCAGGCTTCAGAAGAGGGTGTAAGGCAGGCAGGGGCTACCCCCAAGGACGCTGTGCTTAAGGGCACCAGAGGCCAAGGGCCTGCACCAGAGGGGCCCCTGCACCTGAGCCCTCAGCCCAGCCTGGTTGCAGACCCCACCCTCCCAGGTGCTCAGAGCACCAGTCCCCCAAAGAGACTTGGGGACCGCGATGTCGGCAGCACTCGCCTACCCTTACTCAAAGACACTAAAGCCTCCCCTGGAGAAGCGGGACAACCGGCTGCTGCCCCCTCCTCGGGGAGCCCAGCAGCAACCCAAGTCCCCTCAGGGACGCGGCCCTTCGCGTGTGCCGAGTGCGGGGAGGTCTTCACCTGGGTCACTCACTTCATCGAGCATCAGAAGCGCCACCTGGAAGAGGGGCCCTTCCCGTGCCCCGAGTGCGGCAAGGCCTTTCTGCACGCTTCCGTCCTGGGGGAGCACCGGAAGATCCACCTGCTGCAGCAGCCGCGCAAGAAGCCCCGGCGCGGCGGGGGCGAGGGGCCAGGGGAGGCCGGCCCCTTGGAAGCGGCCGGGCAGGCTCAGGACACGGACGGAGACCCGCGCGGGGAGGCCGCTGGAGGAGAGCGGCCCTTCGAGTGCGGCGTCTGCGGGAAGGCCTTCCCCTGGATGGTCCACCTCCTCGACCACCAGAAACTGCACACTGCGCAGTGAGCGGACGCGCGCCCCGCGCGACAGCGACCCCCGGCGGACTCGTCCTGCAGGCCACCCGCCCCCCCCCGAGTCCCCCGCGCGACAGACCCCCCGAAAGGCTCGTCCTGCAGACCACCAGGGCCCCGCCACCCCCGCCGCGTCCCCCGATGCCAGCGACCCCCGAAGGGCTCGTCCTGCAGGAGACCCGGGACCCACCACCTCCTCCGCCCGCCGGTCCCCCGCTGCCAGTGACCCCCGAAGGGCTCGTCCTGCAGGAGACCCGGGACCCACCACCTCCGCCGCGTTCTCTGGGTGTCGCCCCGCCCGCCGCTTACCCCTGGTGACAGTGACCCCCTGAAAGGTTCGTCCTGCAGGAGACCCAAGACCCGCCTCGCTTCCCTGGTGTCGCCGCACATGCCCGTTCCCCGAGTGACAGCGACCCTCGGCTGACTCTTCCTGCAGAACGACCCGGGACCCGCCACCCCCGCCGCCGAGTTCCCCGGGCGACAGCGACCCCTGGCGGACTTGTCCTGCAGGCGACCCGGACCCGCCGCGTCTTGGGGGGTGTCGCCGCGCCTGGTGCTTACCCAGGGTGATCGCGACCTCCGAAGGGCTCGTCCTGGGAGCGACCCAGGGACCCACTACCCCCGCTGCGTCCCGCGGGTGTCGCCGCACCTATCGCTTACCCCAAGTGATAGTGACCTCCGAAGGGCTCGTGCTGCGGGGCGGCCCAGGACCCGCTGCGTCTCCCGGTGTCGCTGCATCTGCCACGTTCCTCAAGTGACAGCGACCCCCGAAGGGCTCATCCTGGGGAGCGACCCGGGACCCACTGCCCCCGCTGCCGCGTTCCCCGGGTGAAAGCAACCCCCCGAAGGGCTCGTCCTGCTGGCGACTCAAGACCTGCCGCGTTTCCCTGGTGTCGCCACACCTGCCGCGTTCCCCAAGTGACAGCGACCCCCGAAGGGTTCGTCCTGCGGAGCGACCGGGCCCCGTCACCCCCGCCTCCGAGTTCCCCGGGCGACAGCGACCCCTGGCGTACCCGTCCTGCAGGCGACCCGGACCCGCCGCGTCTCGGGGTATCGCCGCGCCTGGCGCTTACCCCGGGTGACCGCGACCCCCAAAGGGCTCGTTCTACAGGGCGACCGTCGACCCGCCGCGTCTCGGGGTGTCGCCGCGCCTGGCACTTACCCCAGGTGACAGTGACCCCCGAAGGGCTTGTCCTGCGGAGCGACCTGGGACCCACCGCCCCCGCCGCCGCCTTCCCTGGGCGACAGCGACCCCTGGCGGACGCGTCCTGCAGGCGACCCGGACCCGCCGCGTGTCGGGGTTTCGCTGCGTTCCCTGGGTGACAGCGACGTCCAGCGTCGCTCTCAGCTCCGCGGGTGGCCGGCCGTCTGTGCTCCGCAAGCGACAAAAGAAAGAGCTTCGCCAGCGCCATCGGTTCTGGGAGTCTTTTCCGGGTACGCCAGGGCTGCGCCCGCGCCCTTGACCCAGCGGCGGTCCTGTACTCCAGGAACGGAGGTCTCCTGCCCGCCCAGCCCCTGCGAGCGCGGCACACGCGTGGGGCTCTTCTATGTGGAACTTAACTCTTTTCTTCCTTTTTTTTTTGTCCCCGCCCTCCTTTTCCTTTTACACTCCTTTTTTTATGATAAAGTAAACACAACATAAAACGTGCCATTTTAACTACTTAAAATGCACAATTCGGTGGCATTAAGTACATGCATAGTGTTGTGCAACCATCACCACGATGCATTCTGGAACATTTTCATCACTCCCAAAATGGGTTCCCCACACCCATTGGCAGTCACTCCCCATGTCCGCTCCCTCAGTCCCTGATATCTAGTTTTTGGTTTCTTTCTGGATAGATTTTGGGCAGGGTTTTTAGGTCTAACCAAAACTGACCAGCACATGATTTTGTTTGATTCACAGAATGACTTTTTTTAAATTTTGAGATAAATGCCAACATTTTTCAAACCATAGATATCACATAAAAATCTGGCATTATGCTCACCCTGGATCTCCCAAGACCAGATGTGGGGTCTCCCAGGCATCTCAGTTCCCCACCACTGCTGGGGACAGCCTGCATGCACTTGGATTCAGCTTTCCATCCATCCCCAGCCCTTCCTTGCTAGGCACCACTTGCCCCATGCAAACGAAAGCCTTACAAGTTTTTGTCTTTCTTTAGTTTTTTTTTTTTTTGAACTTTACTTGGAAATAGTGTTGGATTGACTCTAACCACATGTAAGCAGAGACTTTCTTCTTTAAATCATCCATAAGTCGCCTTTCAACTGGAAAAGCCTTTGGATCTGCCCTACCCAGCCCACTGCTGCTTCTCCACCAAGCTGCCTCCTGCATAAGTAGCCTGTCCCCTAGCACCCTCCAGGGCCATGCAGGTCCCTCTGCTGCCTTTGCGCCATTCGCCGCGCTTGCCTTCTTGGAACTCTCACTAGCTGGGCCTTGCTCGTGGCTTGCTCCAGCACCCTGGCTTATCCTCGCAGTCCCCACCGGGGGCTTCTGGCTCTACTCCATGCCTTAATTTATTGTGGGTTCCACCTCTCCTCCCAAGCACCTTCTTTCTCATCCTGCTGAGGCAGAGTCTCTTCCTTGGAGATCAGGTGACAAAGTGGGGGTCCTGGCCCCACTGTCAGCCCCTGAGGCTTCCACTATAGCACACATGATGAACAGGTTTGTTTGAGATGACAGGATATGTGGACAAAGAACTCCCAGTGTCTCCACTTGTTGGGGGGCAGGGGTTTATTTCAATGCAGTTTTCTTCCCAATCCCCCTAAGCCAGAGGCACATTCATAGCTCTCTGGGTTGGAGCAGGATTGCATGAGAGAGTAGGGGCTACTGCCCACAAGGCAATCGTCAGTCAGGTCCCTCACTGCCATGGACCCCAACCATCCTCATATGAACAGCTCTGAAGATGGGGTTCTCCGAAGATGTCTGCCTGGGCATCCCACAGACCAAATGCCCTTCAGAGACTTCTGCCTGGTGTCCCTCAGTCCTCCAACTGAGATTGTCCAAAGAACCCATGAGCAAAAGAAAATCAACTGCCTCCCATAGGCCATCATACCTCCACCCTCCAAGGCCCCAGGATCACCCTGTTCTCTTTTCTCCTCTGCACTTAACCACCCCAGCCTCCCTCTCTTCTATCTTCTTTCCTACATATCTGGATGTCTGCAGCTGCCACTAAGAGAACCCTGCCTCCAACCCATTCGCCTCCATCCCATCCAATATCCACAGCCAGCAGGATCCCACTGAAGCAGAAATACTGAGATGACATAAAGTCCAGCAGACCAGTTCCTTTGAATCTCTTCTCCTGCTTCAGTTAGTCCCCAGTGCTGGGGTAGTGGATGCTGGCCCCTCTCCACAATGACTCCCATGCTGGGTTTCCTCATCTCCACAAAGGTTGCCTCCTCTGTTCATAACAGTCTTCACTGTGGCATTATCAGCACCTGGCACAGAGCAGCCCTTCGTGAGAATGGGTGAATGGTAACCAAATGAGTGAGTTGCAGCTACTGCCAAGGCCCCACCTCAGGACTGCAGTGGTAAGCCAGGGAAGCCTCACTTGGACCTTTGAGGAGGTGGGGTGGCAGCAACATGGAAGGCCACCCTCAACACACTCTGGCTCAGTTGACACAGGCAAGGATGTGGCTCAGGGTCCTGGACCTGAAGAGTCATTTGTAAGAATCCCGATTCACCAAAGCTGCCAAATTGAGTTAATTGCCCCACTTGCTTAATCCCAAGATGCTGCTTAAGCTATAGTGAGATAGAGCACCAGCCTCTCTCTTCTCTTTCTGCTCACTCCATGCACGCCTGGCTCACCCTGTGCCTTCATCAGCCAATGTCCGCTGCAAGACTCTAGCACCTGCCCATTGGGACCCTTCCCAGTCTCCTTGTCTGTCCTCCAGGTCTTGTCACAGAGTATTTTCTGGGCCAGGTACTGGGTACTGTGATGCAGTTCAAGTCCTCATCATCTCATGCTCCAGAACCAGAGGCAAACAGACCACCTTCCTCCTCACTGCATCCAGGGTCTCTGGGAACAGAGTCCTCGGCACTGTTAGGTTTTGAGGCTCCCAAAATGATTTTTTTAAAGATGAAATACATACACAAGGTTAAACACTTTTTTTTGAACTTTAAACACTGTAATATATTTAAATGTATATATTGAACAATGTATAAAAAATAGAGTGTCACAAAGTTGTGCTATCCGTGACATGATTATAGAATTACTAGAAAGCTACACTGATTTCTAATGCAACTGCGCCTGGTATGGTCCTGTCACAGCCAGGTGGAGGCAACCCCTGTGGTTAGAGGAAGTTGATGTTGGCATGAGCAGGGGCCCAGCCACTGGTCTGAATGGGGAAAGGCCAACAGAGAGCGAGCCTTCATAATATCTTGTGTTTTTAAACCCTTTGAATTCCCTGTGAACCGAAAGATTTCACACACAAATCCAAATCTATGGCTTCTTTTGAGAAGCCCAGACCCTGTACACTGAGCTTACCTGCTCAGTGGGGCCACTTGGTTATCATTAGCATCCATCCCTTTAAATAAATCCTGGCCCCTGCAAGCATTGGAGTTTGTGAAAGTTGGGGAAAAAAAGGGATCAGGAGGCTAGAGGAAGGTAACAGAGGGACAAGTCCTAAGGGAGCTGGGCAGGGCAACCTGGAACAGGCAAGTCTGTGTGGCACCTTCAGCTGTTCATCACCAGGACTCTGCCCAGACCTTTTGGGAAAAAGATTTCATCATGAGAAGTGTGTACATGACTTTTGATCGAGTAAAAGGAAAGTAGAAAGAAAAAAGAACACATTTTGTGGAAGAAAAAACTAAGAAAAAAAATTAAGTATCTTTTTGCATTTTGGTTTGTGGGTGAGGGAACTGATAATTGACATTTTATGTATATTTTATTTTATTTTTAATATATATTTTAAAGTCTTCATACTGTAGTATAGAGAAGAGCAGGTGGACTTTCGGTATGACAATCACAGATGTGAGCCTTTATAGTCTTTGAATGTACAAGACACTTTAATTTTTTTTTTAAATTTATTTATGATAGTCACACAGGGAGAGAGAGAGAGAGGCAGAGACACAGGCAGAGGGAGAAGCAGGCTCCATGCACTGGGAGCCTGACGTGGGATTCGATCCCGGGTCTCCAGGATCGCGCCCTGGGCCAAAGGCAGGCGCCAAACCGCTGCGCCACCCAGGGATCCCTACAAGACACTTTAAAGCCGATAAACTTGTCTTTGCCTCATTTACATCAGTGCACTCTGATTTTGAGCCATCCATTGTATTCTTTCATACCACTGTTGTAGTGCTTATGATGTGTAAAGTCTTTTACTCATCTAAGAACCAGCCTAACCTTTTTAAATGTCTGTATGTGTAAAGAAAACGTACCCAGGTAGGTTTATCCCTAACATGAGAATTCCTACTGTCTTCTCTGCTGTGTTCAGCCAGAGCTGATTCCAATTGTTCCAAAGAAAAAAAGGCCCCTGTCTTGACACCTTTTCTCAGCTTCCAGTGTGCAAGCCCTGACTTGAATCAATCGATCTTTCTTAAAAGGGGAAGTGCACATGGCTCAACCTTGGTTAGATTCTTTATACTCACTTCTCCAGGGATGGTCCATGCACATCAGTGAAAGGAAGTCTGGCTTGAGTGGGTGATGGCTAACGTGCACACCTTGTTGGTTGGTGCCTGGTCCACTGCTGACTGCTGTACCCTGGGCCTAGAGCCTGGCAGGCCTTGATCAATGTTCAGCCAAAAATAAATTCAGTCAAGGAGGGCACTTCGGCTTTGAATATTATGCTGTTGTTCAAATGCACACATCTGACAGTGATGTAAAGCAGTTTAAAAACGTGTCTACCACGGGATGTTTCCTACGACCACGTCTTCAGTAATGCAAGACAGGGCCGGCGTGGCAAATCGTAAACGGCTCTAGTATTTGGCATCTTAGTCAATGTCACTGTTTTAATTTTTTTGCGGGTCATTTTTGTGTCTTGTATTTTCTTGCTGTTTTTTGGAAGCACCACGTGTTTTACAGTAAAGTTTACGGCACAGTTTCCAACATGAAAGAACTCCGACGTCGCTCCAGGAGGACTTACTTCACTCTGGCCCTACTCACATCGCCTCGGCGGGGGCGTCGTCCTCGGGATCTCCCACCGCCTCTGCTGTGGGTGCTCCTGACCCCCCACCACTGTAGCTACACTAGTCCCCAGCCAGTCCCCGCTGTAAGAGCGCGAGGACGACGTTCACGGGGCCCACCACACAGCTAGCGGGGACTGGACATTTTTGACGGCGTCTTGAAGACCCGCGTCGAAACTCGAACTCGGTTCCCGCGGGGACGCTCCGGGGTCAGATGGCAGTTGCGCACAGAGCCCGCGCGTGGGCCTCTGGGAGTTGTGGTTTGGCGCCACCTGCGCAAGCGCAGTCCCGGCCAACAGCGGGCGTGGCCTTCGTCCTGCCATCAGGCAAGGGCATGGAAGGGTTTTGGGGAGGACAGTCTAGGTTAAGGTCCGCGAGGCTGAGCTCCTTACTCCGAGTCCCGTAGCCACGGCCCCGGGCGAGGGTGAGGCGAGCAGGGAAACGACCAAAAGTGCGCGCGCCGCCCTCTGGGAGATGTAGTTGGGCGCCCCAGCGCAGGCGCAGATCTGCCTGGTGACGGCCGCGGCCTTTGTCTTGCCGTCCTGCTGGTAAGTGAGAATGGGGTGGCCGGATCGGGGGAGGCCGAGACGGGCGGGCATCTGGAATCTTCCCTCGTGCGTCTGTGGAGAGCCCCCTTTCCTGCTTTAGGCTAGGGCGGGTCGCTTCGGGGGCGGTTGGGGCGGGGCCAAGTGGGCGGGGCCCAGACCGGGTCCGAGAGGAGGAGTTGCGGCCGGGGTGGCGCCCGGGCTTTGGCAAAAGGGGTGGGAGCCCCCGGCTTCCGGATCATGGTCAGGATGGCAGCTGGTCCGACCCTTCAGAGTCAAGAGCCAGCCTGACCTGCATTCCTACCTGCTTTGGTGGGACGTCCAGGGTTTGGAGGGTGTGGAGGGCCGAGCCCCGCTGTGGAGTCTCTCAGGAACTCACCGAGCGGCTTCTCAGGACGATGGTGAGGGAGACCGAAAGCACAAGATTTTACTCCCAGCCATTTTACTCCCTGGGACCCAGAACACAGACTCATTATGTTAAGAGTCTTACTGAGTACCATCCAGGCCTCTGTATTAATTCAGCAAGCACCTATTTTGATGTCCTGGGTGCCAGGCCCTTTGCTATACCCAAGAGCCCCCAATATTGTTCCGGTCCCCAGATCCCCCAGGGGAGTCAGGAGGATGATAAGAAACCTGTCAACACATCACTGAACAAGATAACTCCCATCTTGGAAACCGCTGTGAAGACAATAGGGCACAGAATATGGGGCAGAATCAAGGGTGCCCGGGAAGGGTCATCAAGGGGAAGTAAGTACAGAGGGACAAGGGAAATGCATTCTACCAGAATGAGTTTCATTCTGGGCACTCAGCCAGAGATGAGCTTGTAAACCACCACCAGTGAAGCCTTGCATGTAGCAGATGCTAAATAGATGCTCACTGAAGCAAGAGGCTTTCCTTCCAGCACAGATTGCCTTCATGTGTATACTGCTGCATGCCAGGCTCCATTTTCAGCCCTTGCCACACCTTAATTCCTATAATTTCTGTGCTGGTTCACCACTCTCATTTTATGAGAGGGGGGAACTGAGGCAAACAGTGCCCAAAGACTTCATAACTGTCTAGCTTTCTGTCAGTAGCAGAAATAGTTATCACGCTGGAAGTCATCTGAGCAACTGGAGGTCTGCCCCTTGCCTGCTGTGGCCTTCAGTTTTTCTATTTGTGAAATGGGGTAGGAGAATTCAAGGTAATCCATCAACTGCCTGGAATAGCACTGGGTGGAGTAGAGGCCTGGAGAACGCCAAGCTGAGGTTTCATTGCTGGTGGGGTTGGCCTCGGTGCAGGGCTCCAGGCTCTAGCAGCCACAGCCCTTCCTACTTGCACACAGATAACAGGGTGGGGGGTTTCTGGTCACCACAGCCACTTGCCTAGTCTCTCATATCCCCGTTTGCCTCAGAACTGCCTGCAGAGGAGCTGGCTGTTCCTGCAAGAGGCCAGCAGAGGTGGGAATGACTGCTGGGCTCTTTGCTGCTGGGGCCCCGGTGAGTACACTGCCAACTTCACACACAGGCCTCCCAGGCCTGGCCTCTGGTCTGCACAGACTCATTCTCCTCTCAGGGCCTTTGCCCTTACTCTGTTCCCTGCCATGAATGTGCTTTAGTCAGCTCCATCTTCCTTCCAATTTCACACCTCACCACCTCTGAGAGGATTTCCCTTATTCCTTCAAGATTATGATTTTCTTCAAGACAGATGAGGGGCAGATAGCACTTATCCATTCCACTGATGTGTCTGGCACTTTCTCAATCCAGGGTTCCAGTTTGTACTGCCAGCTCACTCTCTCCATCCAGTCCCTTAGGCAACAGGCACTTAGCACTTGCTATTGACTAAGTGGTGCACCAAGCTCTGTTATAGGAATTACAGGTTTGGGAACAGAGAAGATGAACAAAAAAAAAAAAAAATCACCATTCCTGTGAGGCTTACAGTCCCTATGAGGAATGTAAATGCGCCAAGTGCTGTGCAGGGAAATGAAGCCCTGAAGAAGATGGGCTTAGGCACCAGGCATTAGCCAGTATAGCCCAGAAGGCCTCTATGAGGAAGTGGCCCCCAAACAGAGGCCTGCAGGGGGTTGGGGGATGAGATCAAGGCCAACAGTAATAATATTCCAGGCTCGGGGAGTACCACAAGCAAATGCCTGGTGGTGGAAACAGGCACTTTCCATAAAGGGCAGGTACATAACATAATAGGAAGACTGAGAACCAGGTCTTCTAGGCCAGTTGCTTGAGGCTAGGGCTTTGGGAAGCACTTCTGACCATTTTTGCCCCGTGCAAAGGCCCAGAACACAGTAGGCACTCAGTGAATGGGTGGAAATGTACCAAAGCCTGTGGTCAGTACTGGACACACTCCACCCTATCCTCCAAACACGTCAGCCCCGTGAGGTTGGAATGAAGAAACTAAAACACAGCTGGGAGTGGCTGAGCCAGGGCTAAACTCAGGATGCCTGGGCCCAGCTCAGACCATGTGCCCCCACCAAAGCCCCCAGTACTCAGCACACATCCCACTGCCTTCATGACTCTTCTTCCAGACCTCTGTATGGCTACGCCATCAGCATCCCATTTTCTCTAGACCACTTACCCTTCCTGGGATTCATTTTTTTAAAATATTTATTTATTTATTATTTATGATAGACATAGAGGCAGAGACACAGGAGAGGGGAGAAGCAGGCTCCATGCCAGGAGCCCGACCCGGGACTCGATCCCGGGACTCCAGGATCACACCCTGGGCCAAAGGCAGGTGCTAAACCACTGAGCCACCCAGGGATCCCTGGGATTCATTTTTTGTCAGCTCCCAGACCCTGTAACTAGCGCATGAACACCATGTGGCCAGGTGTGTGTCTCTTGTTTCCATGGCATCTGTGGAGCCCTGAAAGGTGACCTGCACTCAGTGGTCTCTGCAGATAACACTAAGACCTATTGAGTCTGGAAAATGTAGCAGAAATAGGGATAGGGAAGTTAGTAAAATAAAACCTCCCCAAGTCCCCCAGCACACTTGCCTGAATGGTGGCTCACACAGGTAAAGCACCCAATATGTGCCAGGCCTGGGGCACACACACCATGTGAATTCCCTTATTCCTCCCATCAGCCTTCTCAGGGAGTTCTCAGTAACCTACAGATGTGGGCAGGGAGGCTCAGAGCACTTTAAAACATGGACCTGAGGCTGGAGTTTAAAGCCCAGTCATCTGGGTTGAGGGCCAGGTCTTGACAGTGCCCCCCCCCCAAAGCCTAGTTTAATACCTTCTGCTGCCCCACATCTCCCCTCCTCTGGTGGGGGAAATGTTAGCAGAGGCATATGCTGCCAGTTGGGCCAGGATCCAGTATTTGGCTACCTTGTGTCCCTCACTCCCATCACTCAAGGCAGTGACAGCCAAAGTCAAGGTGAGGCCCTGGACTCACTTGCTTCTGCCCACCTCCCCACCTCACCCAGCCATCCACAACACTTGATTTGGTGAGATGAAACTGCCTTTGCAGAGGATGTCTGTTTCTGCCCCTCACATGCCTTGAAGAAAATCATAAATTCCCCACCCAGTCACAGAAGAAACTGGCCTTGTGTGGGAATTTCAGAAAACACACAAGTGTGGTAGTGATGATTCCGGAATCCCCCTGGGAGCCTCCCTGCACCCTGGAACCCATTTAGACTTTCTCCTTGGGATTGTGTTTTTACCCCAATTTATAAATGTCCAAAATAAAAGACTAGGAAATGGTCCCCAGGAGTCCTTTAACTGGGGACCCCCATATAGTTCATTTGCTCGTTCCCCCCACTCCATTGACTCTTCTCTCTCCTCACTTTGTATTCAGGTATCATTAATGCACAATATAGGTTTACGTGAATGTGCAGCTTGTTGACTGCAGGTATAGACACCAGTGGACATTCTAGCTGATGTATGGGAGGTTTTCAGCCTCCCTGGGCTCCTTCATGCCCCTCCCTCGGTCACTGCCATGATGGCATTTCAGGGGTCCTGTGTTTGCAGGACCCGGTGGGTCCTCTTATATCCTAAGACCCCCTTTCTTCTAGCAGAGCCCTTAGACCCCACAGGAAAGCTGACCTAAATCCTTAGACCTGAGAATCCCCCCCCCACCACCAGCTTGGCTCTCCCTGTCCACCAGCTGCTCCTACTAGCAGCCATCGCCAGGTGTGGCCTGGGTGAGGACATTTGTGTGTGATGTTTCAGGAGCAAGTGACCTTTGAGGACGTGGTTGTGGACTTCACCCAGGAGGAGTGGGGGCAGCTGGAGCCTGCCCAGAGGACCCTGTATCGCGATGTGATGCTGGAGACCTTCAGGCTCCTGGTGTCTGTGGGTAAGGCTACAACTGAACCCCTGATGGTCTGCCTCCAGCACAGATTCTAATTCTCCTGGGTTAAAAGTAGGGGTAGGTTTAGTCCTTAAAAGCAGATACCTAGCATGAGTTTTGGGCTTTAGAGACCTGATATTTGGTTGGAAGTTATAGATCCCACCCGAAAATGCCAGAGGCAGAAAATCCTGGGGTAAGAGGGCCATAGTGGCTCCCATGACTGCAGAATCCCAGGGTCTTTCTGTAGTGCTATCAGAAACCCCCTCCCCCCACACTTCCTCCCTCTGTATCTCTTTCTGCCTCCATTCACAGATGGGCCCCCGGAAGTGAGAAGACAGCTACCAGAGTACCTCTTTTGCATCTGAGACCAGCAGAAAAGACAGAGTCTGTGTCCTGGGCACCCATAGAAGCTAGGTCCTTCTATGGTCCTAGAAGGTCCTAGGTCCACTGGTCATTATTGCCAGCAGGCAGGGGAAGCAGCAGAACTCTAATTGGCGGGGGCTGGGTCACACATCCACCCAGAGCCAGTGTTGGTGTCTGTATGAGGCCTAGCATTAGGGCCTCTACCACAACCTGTCACCTCTAGGGCCTACAGCCAATTGGTCCCAGAAGACTGAACATGGAGTGGACAGGGGGATGGGGAGGGTTCTGGAATACAAAGGCATACTTGTGGGTCTCCCTTGAGCAGGATGTTGGCTCCCCAAGCTGGATGTCATCCTCCTGCTGGAGCAGGAGGAGGAGCTATGGGCAGTGGATGAGAGGGTGCCCTGAAGTGTGTGCTCAGGTGAGGGGAGAGCCCTGCAGGGCTGGGAGGAGCCCATTCAGCCCTGTGGCACTCTCTCTTCATATCTGCTTTCACATTCTTCAGGGCAAATTGACTACTCAGTCTTTCAGTAAATGTGCATCAAGCATCCGTTCTGCGGTGAGTGAGACCTAGTTCTCATCTTCAGTGAATTTACATTCTTGGTGAGGGAGGGGGCATGCAGTAAACAGGTAAAATAATAACTGCATAAGATACGACATATGAAGAATGCTGCAGAAATGAACACAGGTCATGAGGCAGAGGCCAGGTTGTGGGGATGACTTGAGCACGTATGAGGCTAGCCTCTCCAGGGAGGTGATGTATGAGCTGAAGCCTAAGTCATGGGAAACCAACCCCACGAAACAAGCTGGGAGAACAGAATTCCAGGCAGAAGGAATAGCAAGTGCAAAGGCACTGGTGGGGGGAGGGAGGCAGTTGGCTGCTCTTGCTGTGTAACAGACATTCCAGCTTCAGTGGTTTAAACCACAGAATCTTTTACAAACTCATGTATCTGTGGGTCAGTGATCCAGTCTGGACTTTTCCATGTACTCTTCAGGGTATGTTCTCCATATATCTTATCCGGTTCCTGAGACCAGTACCAACTCTGTAGGAAGTGGGGCTGTCCCGGCACTGGTGTCAGGCCCTGACCCAGGGGGAGAGGGTCACCACAGAGTCTCTCCAGTTCAGAACTAACCAGCCTTTACCTAAGTTATTAGCTTTCTATGGCTGCTGTAACAAATTACCACAAATTTAGTGGCTTGTTGTTTTACAGTTCTAGAGGTCAGAAGTCCAAAATGAGTGTCACTGTGCTATAGTCAAGGTGTCAGCAAGGCAGCATTCCTTTTGCAGTGCCTGGAGAGAGCACATTTCCTTTCACTTTCCAGCTTCCAGAGATGCTTGCATTCCTTGCTTCACAGTCTTGTCCATCTTCTAAGTGAGCATGGCCCTAAGGTCTTCTCACATCAGCCTGGCCCTGGCCCTAGTCCTCCTGCCCTGCCCCCCATTATCTCGCAGTTCCAGAACCCTGTGATTGCCTTGGGCCCACTAGGATAACCCAGGGTAATCTCAGATGATTAGAAAAACAGGGACATATTTGGGAGCTACTATTTTGCCAGCCACACTTGGCTTGATCTCTCTCTTTTTTTTCTTAACACTTAACTGGAGTGTAACATAAGTGGGCAGGGTGGCCCCATCACAACTTTAGGCCAATCCAGTGTGGTAGTGGGGATGGCATACACTGAAGCCATGACTGTAGGGACAAAAAGCAGTTCTGCCAGGAAGAGGGAGAAAGGGATGTGTTTGTTCAGCACGTCTGTTGGATACTGCTGCGGGTGGGGATGCCATGGTGACCGAGGTAGACAGAAGCCCTGCCCTTAGGGAGCTCCCAGTGGGTGAGACAGACCCAACAGACCAGATCCAAGTCCTCTTATTCACCTTAGGTCATTTATCCACCCTTGTGGTGATATACAGCTCTCTCCAGACTGGGGGAGCTGATGGTTTCTTGACATGTGGCAGAGGTGAAACAGCAGCAGGAAACCACTAAAAAGAAACTGGACCTGAGCAGTGGGAGGGCTGGTCTGGGTGGTCCTTCACCTGTGAGGCAGCTGTTCCTCCATCACCACCTGGCTGCTTTCGTCAGGGCCTGGCCATTGCTCTGCCTCTTCTGGCCTGGGGCATCTGCTGATGGCTTTGCTAGCTGCTCACTGTCAGCCCAGCGTCCTCTTCCTGCCCTCACTCTCTGTGTTCCCCTTGCTTCCCTTGCAAGATCCATCTGTGTCCCTCTGCCAGCTCCCCCCTTCCCCCTTTTCTTTCCTGCTCCCTCATTTGCGGAACTGTATTTTTAAATGGTCAAATGTACTTGTGCCTTCACCCTTTCAAAACTATCAGTTTTACTCTTTTTATTTATATTTTTATTTATTTTTTATTTATATTTATATTTTATTTTTTTATTTTTATTGTTTTTTAGTTTTACTCTTTATCTACCCATCTACTACCACAAACTCTTCCCCCCAAACTGAAATTAAGGAACATCTCCATTTTTGTTCCTTTCAGATTTGGAAACTAGGCCCAAAACCAGACTGTCAGCTCTAACGCAAGACATCGCTGAAGAAACGCCCAGCAGTATCCTGGTGGAAAGGTTCCTGTGGGATAGTCTGTGGTGCTCTGAGGGTGACGATGCTGAGGGCCACGGGGGGCAGCGTCATGAGAGCCGAGATAGACACATGGTGCAGGCAGCCTTCATGCCCGTGAAGACACTCATGCAGCAGCGGCAGCAGGGGAATGAGTTTGGGGAAAACTTGATTCTGAGCCCTAGTCTCCCATCTCAGCCAGAGATTCCTGAAAGACAAGGCATCCATATGCTGGGGACACACAGGAAGAGGGGGATGCCAGAGCCAGAGCTAAATGCTCAACAGGAGATATATGCAAAGGAGAAGCCCTACAAGTGTCAGGCATGTGGAAAGGCCTTTAGTCACAGCTCAGCACTTACTGAGCACAACCGCACGCACACAGGAGAGAGACCTTATGAGTGTCACGAATGCGGAAAAGGCTTCCGGAACAGCTCAGCACTTACCAAACACCAGAGGATCCACACTGGTGAGAAACCTTATAAGTGTACTCAGTGTGGGAAAACCTTCAACCAGATTGCCCCACTGATCCAGCACCAGAGAACTCACACAGGGGAGAAGCCCTACGAGTGCAGCGAGTGCGGGAAATCTTTCAGTTTTAGGTCCTCCTTCAGTCAACACGAGCGGACTCACACTGGGGAGAAGCCCTACGAGTGCAGCGAGTGTGGGAAGGCCTTCCGGCAGAGCATCCACCTCACCCAGCACCTTCGAATTCACACGGGAGAGAAGCCCTACCAGTGTAGGGAGTGTGGTAAGGCCTTCAGCCACAGCTCTTCCTTGACCAAACATTGGCGAATCCACACTGGGGAGAAGCCGTACGAGTGCCATGAGTGTGGGAAGGCCTTCACACAGATCACACCACTGATTCAGCATCAGAGGACCCACACGGGAGAGAAACCATATGAGTGCAATGAGTGTGGGAAGGCCTTCAGCCAGAGCACACTCCTGACAGAGCATCGGAGGATCCACACGGGAGAGAAACCCTACGGGTGCAATGAGTGTGGAAAAACCTTCAGCCACAGCTCATCACTCAGCCAGCACGAGCGGACGCACACAGGAGAGAAGCCGTATGAATGCGGTCAGTGTGGGAAGGCCTTCCGGCAGAGCACACACCTCACTCAACATCAAAGAATCCACACTGGGGAAAAGCCCTATGAGTGTAGTGACTGTGGTAAGGCCTTCAGTCACAGCTCATCCCTAACCAAACACCAGCGGATCCACACTGGGGAGAAGCCCTATGAATGTAATGAGTGTGGCAGAGCCTTCAGCCAGCTTGCCCCACTCATTCAGCATCAGAGGATTCACACGGGAGAAAAGCCCTATGAATGTAATGCATGTGGCAGAGCCTTCAGCCAGAGCTCCCTTCTCATAGAACACCAGAGGATTCACACCAAGGAAAAGCCCTATGGGTGCAACGAGTGTGGAAAATCCTTCAGTCACAGCTCATCGCTCAGCCAGCATGAGCGGACACACACTGGGGAAAAGCCCTATGAATGTCAGGATTGCAGGAAATCATTCAGGCAGAGCACCCACCTCACTCAGCACCGGAGGATCCATACAGGAGAGAAGCCATATGAGTGCAGGTACTGTGGGAAAGCCTTCACACACAGCTCGTCCCTTACCAAGCACCAGAGAACTCATACTGGGTAAACCCACTTCACACTCACTGGAACATGGGAAAGCCTTAAGTCATAGCTCATCCTGTACTAGACTTGACCCAGTCATTCTCAATGGAAACAATACAAGTATATGCATATGCAAGCCTTCACACAGCACATGTCTCAGACACCCTCAGAGAGGTGTGGTGGAAATGATTGTGGAAATATTAAGCTCTAGGTCATCCATCCCCAGATATCAGATCATCCAAACAGTAGTAGGGAAATGTGGAATTAATCAGTGTTGAGTACCCTCAGTCATAAGTGCCCACTAATGCTACATTGTACAACCTACAAAAAAGAGAAATGGGGGGGGGGGGGATGTAGTGGATCTGGAGATGGCTTCATCCAAGGATTCATAAAATTCCAAATGAGAGATTTTCAAAGTGGTGAGAAACCCAACAAATGCTTTTTGTATACAGGAACCAGATACACTCAGGATTATCATTATTGCACATTACATTCTTGGGAGGGGTGCTTATGAATGGTGCAAGATGACTTTATATAAATTTCTCTACAGGACTCACAGGCATTAGAAACACAGATGTTGCTGTTTCACAAAAAGGAAGATTTCTTTTCCCTTTGTTAAGCCATCATCTTATGAACAATAGCACCTCCGTATTGGAACCTTATGTTTTGCAAGATTTATCTTTTTTGAGAAATGTACAAGTTAATCTTCTCTGGATAGTTTTTCATTGATTCTTTTTCCTGGTGTTTAATAAGCTTTTGTTTTTGTATAATCTGTGTTGAAGGTCCATAGTATCACATTAAATCCTGAATCCACTAACAGCAGTCTCTCTCAGAGCCACAACCTTTGAACAGTGATTTATCCTTATTAGAATCCGTATTTAAATTGCATTGGCTGGATATGGCCACCAACTGTCAGGGTTATATCGGTTGGCTTACTTTACCAATCACAATCCTGGGATGTAAGTTTCTCAATAACTTGAAATTTCTCCCTTGGGGGAAGGATATTACAAATAGTCTTCCAGTAGTCCCCAGTATGCTTGTGCAATGCCTCTCTTTTTTTTTTGGAATTAATTTCATCGTCATTTATTTTTTTTAAATTTTTATTTATTTTATGATAGTCACACAGAGAGAGAGAAAGAGGCAGAGACATAGGCAGAGGGAGAAGCAGGCTCCATGCACCGGGAGCCCGACGTGGGATTCGATGCGGGGTCTCCAGAATCGCGCCCTGGGCCAAAGGCAGGCGCCAAACCGCTGTGCCACCCAGGGATCCCTTCATCGTCATTTAAAAGCCACTCAAGAAAACAACAGTCCCTGGTATAAACAATGCAAGCCACATCAGTAGATTTAGTTATTCTAATAATACCATTTAGGAAGCAAGAAGAAACAGGTGAAATTAATCTGTCCCTATATATCCCAAATGTAACAAACCACTGATGGAGGAGATGTTTTGCTTGCTTTCTGTGTGGTACATCTTTGAAATCCATTGTGTATTTTGTTTGTGGCCCACCTCAGTTTTCTGTAGCCTCCTTTTGGGTGCTTATTTGCCACAAGGAGCCAGCCAGTGGCTGGACTGGACTAGGCGGCTTAGCAGCCTCAGCCCTGGTCAGCTGTGTCCACCTTCCTTTATTACGTGTATCCTCCTGCGTCCCTGTGTTTCTGTTCTTGTGTTCCTTCTTGTCCTCAAGGAAACCAGATGTACTGAGAAGATCAGCTTCTTTAAGTAAATGGCATGAGAGGCTCTTACCCCTGAATCTAGTGTAGAAAATATGTCACGCTAGTTGTGCACAGTTCAGACTCTCTAGGGTTAGAATTCTTGTCAGAGAACACTACATTTGGAAAACATGTTAAGGCTCCTCTATTCCAGTTCAGTTCAGTAAAACTGGAACCAGACTACACACACTTGCAGTCTTTAGAAAATGCCAGATCACTGAGAACCCAAGCCACACAAGCTCCTGCTGTCCTGTTGCAGCCCTTGCTCACCTGCCCTGTAATAATACAAACAGGAACACAGCTCGGAATTGGGAACCATGGGGAGGTGCCCACAGTATCACTTCTACCCTACATTAGGGAGGGAAACAGAAGTGCCTTCCCCAGCAGTGCTACTCCAGTGCAGGCGCATTGAGGACATTATACCCAGAGTGTCAGAAAAATCGCAGGGGCACATGCACTTCTGACCAGGGGCCCTGACTTATTTGGATAGTTGCTGATATATCTTAATCATTGACATAAAAGTTCAAACCCAATAAGGAAAACTGAAGGGTGTGAATACAGATTCAGAAGAGGCCGTGCAGTTTCACCTTTGCTCACCGGACACTTGTGCTTAGAACCCAGAGATGCTAAGGCTTCCAGCTACCACGAGGCCACTGGGCAGCAAGGATGTTCAAGCCAGGTGGGCTCTGTTCATGGGCTCCAATCAGCCAGGCCTACTCTGCAAGTCCTCCAAGCCACATCAGGCATGCACATGAGCAAGGCTTCAGGTAACTCCAACCGCACAGCTTTCAAGATGCCTCAGATGTCAGGTTCCCAGCTGAAGTCTCACACACGGGCAAAAACAAGCCATACCTGCTGTGCTTTTTCCAAATACTGACCCCCTGGATCTGTAAGTAAAACAAAACGCTAATGTTTCATGCTGCTGAACTGTGGGGTGACTTATTGCACAAACAGTAGTAATCCATAAACCCCGGGACCTGGGACCTCCTGCTGCAGAAGCCAGCCCCCAGTTGAGTTTCCCCAACTGTCCCTTTCCTGAATGGCCATCCCTCAGGAGCCCTACTCTCAAGAGATACATCTCTTGTCAGCCAGAGGGTGGGGCTGGAGAGCCATCATGTCAATGAGACTTGGGTGGGGAGCCACGTGTTTTATAAAATCAGGCTGTCATGGGTTGAGGGTGGGCTGGGCTACATTATATTTTTGTTTTTGTTTTTTGCTACATTATATTTTGAAGCTCAGTTTCATGGATTTGCCACGAAGTTAATGAAGCTGAAGCTCTAAGGTCCTCCTTCACTGTTTTGCAACCCTTTGAAGGCCAAGTGCTTAATTTTAGTAACTTTGAATTTTTTTCCTGAAGAGAGACTCCTCAGTTGTGTGGAGCTGAGGCTTAGTGAATCTGGCTGGAGCCCAGGTTCCACTGATGCCACTCCTGGGGCTTCTGCACAGATGTAGTGAAACAGCCCAGCATGTCCAAGGACAGCAGGTCTTCAACTCTACTGTGAGTGAAAATTAGTTGGGGGTGGAGTGGGTTAGATCTGAGACTGGTCAGTTTGAGGTGGGTTCTCCAAACGCCAGGATGTAGCAAGTGTGAATTGATCTCAAGCCTCCTGAATGGCCTCACTGCCAGAGCCCACTGTTGCCAAGAGTGGCTATGCCCCAGTAGCCTCAAGGGTGAGGGAATAGTTTGAGCCCTGACTTTGCATTGGATTCAGAAGACTGAACAGAGGACCTGCCTTTCTCCACATCAGAAACCCACCAATCCATCTTGTTATGCCAGTCGCCTGAATGAAGAAAGTCCACAGAGTCTTCCTATAACCCTCCAGACAACTAAGTCACTGATTCATTCAAGACTCAAGGGACACACACACTTATAATGAGAATGCTCACAGATTTTATATATGCACCAAACACATACATACCAAAATCTTATACACAGAACAATTACTGAAGCATATAACCTACTGAGATGTTAAAAGTAATAATTCCCATAAGATGGGAACATGGGAGATTTTTTTCTCCTTTATATTTTTTAAAGTTTTCCATAATTGGAAGAATTCTTTTCAAAATGGTGAAAAGTGAATTTTATTATAAAAGCTCTATAAATAATTTTCAAGGGAATTAAAGAAGAAATAACTAACCATAGTTCCATGACTCTAACACAACTATTTTTGTGTTTACACTTTATTTGCTATTTGAGGACATCAACCATCCTTTACAGTTAGAATATCTGTGTTCTATTTCCTGAGCTAGCTACACTTAGAAATTATTCTTCCGTGTTGCTGCATCTTCGTATCATCAATGCTTTGTTATTCCTATGAATGAATGGCTCTACCAAAATTTAAGTGATGGTTCCTTTATAATTGGGCACTTAACTCCATGCAAACGGTCTTTCTAGTCACTTATGTGCATTTTACCCTTTTTTGTTTCCTCTATAATTTTAAAATCCCAGAAAGGCTTTCAGCATCTCATTGTATATAGCTTTTCTCTTGGTTTTAATTTTTTGAGAGAAATCACTATGCCTAAAACTTAAGACTCAAAATATACAAATGTCATAGTGGGGTTTTAGTGTGACTGGGCTGTTTGTTTTCCAAAGCAGTTGCACCTGTTGATGCTGATTTGCAAAACTCTCAACCCAGATAATGATGGAAGGCCTGTATTAGTTGGCTCAGGCTTACCACAACATAATACCACTGAGTGGGTGGCTTAAACCACAGAAACTAACTTTCTCACAGTTCTGGAGTTCTTGGCTGGAAGTCCCAAGATCAAGGTGCCGTCATGGTTGGTTTCTGGTGAAACCTCTCTTCCTGGTTTATATATAGCCACCTTCTCACTGTGTCTTTGCATGGCCTTTCTTCTGCGCAAACATGATGAAAGAATAATCTCTGCTCTTCTACTTCTTATTAGGAGATCAACCCTATTGGATTAGGGCCCCACCTTTATAACATCCCTATAAGCCCTATCTCCAAATATAGTCACATTGGGGGTTAGGGCTCAATGGATAAATTTGGGGGGATTCAGTCTGTAACAAAGGGTATTTTAAGCATCTTCTTCCCACTGAAGGAGGGCTGGTGTTAGATAACCAACAACTTTGCAACCATCATGGCAAGAATGGAGGATAAATAGGGTGGGGTGGGAAGGTGGATTTAGGTGAGAAGCAGGATATTTGCATTACTTTAAAGTGTCTCCCCACAGATTGCTTACTAGCTAAGGGGAAGAAATAACCATAAAGTGGAGAAATTGGACAGCACTTTTTAGGTGAGCAAAGGAATCCTCACCAACAGTACGAACATGGACCACAGGCACTCCCAGGTGTCTGTGAGGGGGGCCAAGGGACAGGAATCACAAGCAAGCAGGGGAGCATGTTCAAATAGGTGGGGGTAGAGGATTTTTATTATTTTTGTGCCTTTTCTGTACATTTGAAGTTATTTCTAAATATTTAAAAATATAAACAAGAAGAACACCATCTAGCTGTGCATTAAGGGAGACATCAGGTGGGAAACGGATGGATAGAGAGCCAGGTTTTTTTTTTTTTTTAAGATTTTATTCATTTATGGGGATCCCTGGGTGGCTCAGCGGTTTAGTGCCTGCCTTTGGCCCAGGGCATGATCCTGAAGTCCAGGGATCAAGTCCCACATCAGGCTCCTTGCATGGAGCCTGCTTCTCCCTCTGCCTGTGTCTCTGCCTCTGTGTGTGTGTGTGTGTTTCTCATGAATAAATGAATAAAATCTTGTCTTCATTTATTCACGAGAGACAGAAAGGACTCAATCCCAGGTGCCCAAGAGAGCTGGGCTTTCTGATAACGAAGGACCCACCAGTGGTCCTGAAGCTGAAAGTGGGATGCTCCTCAGACGTTACCTCTCTGTGGCAAGAGAGGCAAGCTCATGGGTTAGGCTGAGAACAAGAGTTCAGAGAGCAAATACAGGTTTTTAAAAACAGAATTACCGGGGTGCCTGGGTGGTTCAGTCACTTAAGTGTCTGTCTTTGGCTTAGGTCACGATCTCTGGTCCTGAGGTTCAGCCCCACTCCAGGCTTCCTGCTCAGTAGGGGTCTGCTTCTCTCCCCCTTTCTCTCCCTCTGCCCCTCCTCACTGCTTGTTCTCTCACTCTCAAATACATTTAAAAAAATCTTTAAAAAAAATTACCAGGGTAGCCCAGGTGGCTCAGTGGTTTGGCGCTGCCTTCAGCCCAGGGCCTGATCCTGGAGACCCAGGATCGAGTCCCACGTCAGGCTCTCTGCATGGAGCCTGCTTCTCCCTCTGCCTGTGTCTTTGCCCCTCTCTGCGTGTGTGTCACAAATAAATAAAATCTTAATTATTTTTTAATTTAAAAAATTACCAGTGGGACACCTGGGTGGCTCAGCAGTTGAGCACCTTCCTTTGGCCCAGGGCGTGATCCTGGGGTTCTGGGATCAAGTCCCACATTGGGCTCCCTGCATGGAGCCTGCTTCTCTCTCTGCCTATGTCTCTGCTTCTGTCTCTGTGTCTCTCATAAATTAATAAAATCTCTTAAAAAAATTACCAGAGCCACACCCAACTCAGGATGGGGGTGTTGAGGAGGTAGACAGTCCCAGACTCCCACATGTGATTGAGGCCATGAGATCACGTCCCTCCAAGGACACATGAGTGGAAGTGATGTGTGTCATCTCCCAGCTGAGCGAGTGTGGCTTTCCCCATTTGCTCCAGGGGTCCAGCAGAGGGCAGAGCCATAACAGGGACAGAGCCTGGATCCCCAAATCTCTACATGAAGTAGAGCTACCTCCCATCCACACACAAGCAATAGCAACAAACATAGACTGTCATGTGAATGCAAGAAATAAATCCTTTATTATGTTAAACTTCTGTGATTTGGGCATCATTGTAACAGACTGCCTGCTCAAACACCATGACAGAAAGAGGCACCAGTTTAATCTACAAGAAGCAGTTAAAAGTTTATGCTTAGGCAACAGAAACTATGCTGTAATCCGAGATTAGATGCAAAAATCAAGATCACCTTATGTAGCCCAAGGAGTAAAGTTCTGCTTGCCCAGGCAGACACATCTCATCAAACTTTACTGGTGTTTTCAGCCTGGTCTGATCATGACCCTCCAGCCTCTGAGTGAGAAATACATCTTACATTGTAACCAGGTAGATATATGGCTGAAAAGTTTCACAAAACAATATTTGCCTTTACTACGTGATGAATTTTTACCTATTTAATTCTACTTCAGTTTTGTAATGCCGGTGGCCATCAATTTGATTTCACAATTCACTAATGGGCTGAAACACATGGTTTGAAAACACTGTTAGTAGGCTCCAAGCATTTTTGTGATCTTTGTTTAGCCACTCCACATATGTAGACACGTGCATTAACCAGGGAACAGTTTGCTATTAAGGATTCAGAAGTGAACTTGACATTGGGTGTTTATGAAAGGACCAAACAGTTTGGACAGAAGCCCTGGGGACTCGAATAGGAGGGAGAGAAACAAGGCTAACTTCAAGAGCTGGCAGATCACACACTTTAAGGCAACTCTACACTTTGCACAACGACAAATGTTCTGAAGTGTGGGTGGTGCTAAAATGGCTATGGAAGAAAGGGGAATCTTCTTTCATACCTGACAACTCATGGTTGCATGTGGGCATCCGCATGGGTGTGTTTACAAGGAGAGAAGAGCTTCCCGAGGGCCCTTCCTGGGTTCTAAGTGCTTTAGCCACATTAGCTCATTTAGAAAACAGACAGACTTATATCCACACAGACACTGCAAGAAGCCACACAAGGGTTTCAAAGGAGCCTGATACACCCTTGTGAATCCTGGGCAGGCAAAGTTGCCCTCTAGGGACACTTAAAAGCAAAGCGGCTCATCTCTGCGCCGCAGACTGCACGGGACCATCACCTGCCACACACCCTGGGAACCCACTGAGCCTCCCACTGGCACGGGGTCCACATGCAGCAGGGGGGGGTCCCAGGGCCCTCCCCAACGCATAGATCTTCTCTTTCTCGTGGGTCTTCTGGTGCTCAGCCAGGGCTAGACTGAAGTGGAAGGTCTTCCAGCAGCCCTGGCACGCATACAGCTTCCTGCCACTGTGGCTTCTAAGATGATCAATGAAATGTGAGATCCACGCAAAGGTTTCCCCACACTCGCTACATGCGTAGGGCTTCCCTCGGGATGCCCCAGGCTCATCAGCAGCAGGGGAGCCTGCAGCAGAGATATCCTGGTCCTGCCTGGCTGGGGACCCTGCACTGCGGCCAGCTGCATTAGGCTCCTTCATGTGGTATTGCCGGTGGTTGATCACACTGGAGACACACTCAGGGCCCTGCCCACCCACATCCTTCGGGTGGGGCCTCTTCCTTCCAAGGCCTTGGTGGGAGGTGGCTGGCATTACAGGCACAGTGAGGCTCTCCCCAGCTGTGCCCCTGTCCTGGAATGGCTCTCGGATTACTGACCGCCTGTGGGCTATGGTGACAGGGCCTGGTTCCCCCTCCTGAGGATCCAGAGCCTTCTGCATCTGCTCTTCTTCCTCCGGGGCAGCACCCGTTAGGGGGCAAACAAGAATTTCCCTCGTGAGCCTCTCCATCAGCGTCTCACACATGTTCTCTCTGCCTTCCTGCCACCTCCTGCCACCTGAAACAAGGTCATAATGTGAGTAGTCCCAATTCCCAGGACTCATAAGGAACTCATAAGGAAATGTGAGCAGGAACACTAACAAAAGGCAAAGGCCAGAGACTCAGAAGGGGCAGGATGGAAAGCGGAGAAAGGGGGAAGTGGGTAAAGACACAAGGAGTGCTCTGGATGCACACCATCAGCCAATTCTCTCCACAAACCTAGGGGCAATGGATTTAAACAAGATCATTCAGAAGACTACCATGTGTCCCCATCTGCTTTGCCTTCTTTGGCAATCCTGAACTCACAACTGCCTGCCTGAAGACAGTCATTCCAACCATGTCTTGCAGCTGAAGTGACTGAGTTCTGGCCAAAGGGACGTGTACACAAGTGTTAAGTGGTGGGGAGGGGTCTCCTCCTTCCTGCAGCTGTGGATGTGAGCTGTAGTAGCCACCCTGAACCATGAGTGAGTGGACACTAGCAATGGAGCATGAGCTGGGGGAGCCTGTGTTCTCACCAGGAAGGGCCAAATAAGCCTTTGCAGAGTAAACAAACGTGTTACCCTGGGGGTCCCCAATGAAACATGCCTCCTGGGATTCAGGCCCTTGGGATTCATTACCACACACACACACCAGCACACTGGATTGCCCACCTGTCCTTCTGTGGTCTGTGGTCTGTGGGACATTAAGAATGCAGGACGCAAGCCAACGCTTGCAAAGCACCTGCACAATGGTACTTACCCTCCTGGAATGCTCCCTCTATGAACCCAGATGCCATGCTGTGAAGAAGCACAAGCTGGCCACTTGGAGAGGCAACATGGAGAGCCCAGGCTGAAGGCCTCAGCTGAGTTCCCAGTGAAAAGCCAGCACTAACGGCCACTGGTTGAGTGAGGCCACCCAAGACATTCTGGCCTAGTCAAGCCTCCAGATGACTATGGCTGTGTACATGGCCCAGCAGCCACCAAAGGGAAAACAGGTGTCCAGCCAATCCCAATCAATCCACAGGATTGTAACAATCAACACTGTTGTTGTTCAAGTGACTAAGTTTTGGGCTATTATGCAACAGATCATTAAAATAGCTGGATACCTGCCTCCTGCTCTGACACCTGGGGTGGGGGTGGCAAAAATATGGGACACAGGGTGGGAAAACAGTGAGGTCAAAGTGGATATCTTTGCTGAGACCAATGGAGCTGTAAGGAATTTCCAATAGCCTCTAAAAGAAAGAAAGGCACACCCTCTGCCCTAACCTGACCACAGCTCTCGGATCTCACCTGAGAAGCTGCCTTCTGGGGGTTCTGTTTCAACCAACCGAAGTTCCTCTGTCTCCACTCTGCAGGTATCGTCAGGCTGGGCAAGCTGATACCCTGAGTAGGATCAAACAAAACAAAACAAAAACAAAAACTGAAAGAGATGTTGAAACCAGAAGGGAAAATAGCCAACAATGCAAAGTCAAATCCCACAGGCTGGCCAGGTGAGTACTGCAGCCTCCATCATCTCCTCTGCCCTGGGACACCCACCAAAGCTGCCCTGTATGGAGCCCTGGAGAGCCAGGGACTCCCACAACACTGGGGAAGGAGTGAAGAAGAGGGTCTCCTGAGGCAGAGCCAGAAGGGCCAACAGGGAGTGGGGGAAATTCAAGAGAGAGCAGTTAGAAAAAACCAGAAAACTGCAACCTTAATTAAGGGCTCAGAAGTCTGTGATGGCACCTGTGCCGTGGGCACAGATGTCCACACAACAGGAGAAAGACCCAAGAAGGCCAAAGGCTCCATCTCTGCACCAAGAAGGATGGGAAAGTCGACACAATGGGGTCAGGAGGCCTTTCCTTTTTTTTTTTTTTTTTTTTAAAGATTTATTTAGGGATCCCTGGGTGGCACAGCGGTTTGGCGCCTGCCTTTGGCCCAGGGCACGATCCTGGAGACCCAGGATCGAATCCCACATCAGGCTCCCGGTGCGTGGAGCCTGCTTCTCCCTCTGCCTATGTCTCTGCCTCTCTCTCTCTCTCTGTATGACTATCATAAATAAATAATAATAATAATAAAAAAGATTTATTTATTCATTCAAGAGAGAGAGGGGGAGGGCGTAGAGAGTCTTTTTTTTTTTAATTTTTATTTATTTATGATAGTCACACAGAGAGAGAGAGAGGCAGAGACATACAGGGAGAAGCAGGCTCCACGCACCGGGAGCCCGACATGGGATTCGATCCCGGGTCTCTAGGATCGCGCCCTGGCCCAAAGGCAGGCACTAAACCACTGCACCACCCAGGGATCCCAGGAGGCCTTTCCATATCCAGAAGTTTCAGGTCCCAGAGCAGGGCCTGAACTCAAAAGGCTAGGGCTCTGGCAGGACTTGAATGTGTAGACTGGGAAGGGCAGGGCCAAGGTGGGGACCTCAGCAAACTCCTTCACTATCTAATACATATAAAACCCTATGGGGCCAAAAATAAATAAATAAAATAAATAAATAAATAATAAATAAATAAATAAATGGGCTGCCTGGGTGGCTCAGCCGTTTAGTGCCACCTTCGGCTCAGGGCCTGATCCTGGAGACTTGGGATTGAGTCCCATGTCAGGTTCCCTGCATGGAGCCTGCTTCTCCCTCTGCCTGTGTCTCTGCCCCTCTCTCTCTCTCTGTGTCTCTCATGAACAAATAAATAAAATCTTAAAAAAAAAAAACACCCTAGGGGGCCTTAACCAAAGCCCCATGTGGGAGTTGGAATCCCCTAGGCCAATGCTTTTGGAAGAGGATGAAGGGGCTGCGTGAGGCCGTGGGGACAGGTCTTACCCCACAGGAGCAATTTCCGGAAAGCCTTCAGGTTCTCCTCTGCCGGGTCCAGGTGGCCCCATTCTCCCAGGTACAGAGGCACCTCCGGGAACGTCAACTTCTGAAAAGGCAGCACCACCATGGCTGAACTTTCCCGTGCATAGAAGGGTGGACCCTTGGTCCCACGGTCATGGTGAGCACAACGGGGGTGGCATCATCCTAGGGGTTACCACCCACCACCCTGCAGGTCCTGGACCCAGTCCCAGGTTAAGAGGGCAGAGTTTTTCAACTTCAGCGCTAAGGACTCTTTCAGCAGGGCCTGTTCCAGGCACTGGAGGATGTTTCTTGATCTCTTCAATCGAGATGTCAGCAGCACCTCCTCCCCCACAGAAGTAGCAACAAGCAAAGCTGTCCTAGACATCACCAAATGTCCCCCAGAGGGGCAAAACCACCCTGGCTGAGAACCATTGCTATAGAAGACCCCAAAGTCTTCTATCTCCTCTATGCCTGAACATCACACGTGCCCTAGGCCAGCACCCAGGAGACAGGGGTGACCAGGACAGCCATGCTTGCTGCCCTCAGTAGAAGCAGAGGAAAGGGCACAGCCAGGCCCACAGAAGGGTAAGGGGCATGGGAGTGAGGAGGGGAGCCTGCAGGATGGGGGCAGCTGGCACAGCAGGAAGTAAGGAGGCGGCTGTGGCTAGCAGCAACAGTGCACCTCGGAAGAAATGAACGGTGCACTAGTCACAGCCAGAGAGACAAGGGCCAGGGAGTTGCCACAAACTGGGTTAGTGGGTGGGGAGCTAACAGAAAAGGACCACCTGGGGCAGCCCAGGTGGCTCAGTGGTTTAGCACCACCTTCAGTCTGGGGCCTAATCCTGGAGACCTGGGATCAGGTCCTGCGTTGGGCTCCCTGCATGGAGCCTGCTTCTCCCTCTGCCTGCGTCTCTGACTCTCTTTCTCTCTGTGTCTCTCATGAATAAATAAAATCTTAAAAAATAAAAAGGCCACCTGCCCAGTAGTCCCATGGGGGCAATGACAGCATATGGACCCCTCCCAGAGACCTCTCCTTACCTCATCCCCACCATTGGCTGGGTTCATCTCTTGGTTTCCTGGAGAGGCAGCAGCCTCAGTGCCCAGCCCTGGAATCTCAGTCCACCCCCCAAACTCCTCCCATGCAGCTGGTGGCCTATTCATGATGGGGGCAGGAGAGAGCCTAGCAAGTTAGGGTGACAGATCCTCCTCCTTGGGAACTAGTCTATGAGCCCCTGGACAAGACAGACCTCACCCACCTTCGGTTCAATCTTTGCGGGGTTGGCCTCTTTAGTCTTCTCGTCGCCGATGCACCCCTGTTCTAGAAGCACAGGGTCTGGGGTGGGACAAGCTGGGAGAAGGGGAGACAAAGCTGAGAAGACTGCTTTTATACAGCTGGGCAGTCCAAACCAGTGAGGGAGCCCCCACCTTGCACAAGAAAAAGAGTGAAGAGTTCTCAGACTAAGAAGGGAGGCCCGAGTGCTCATGCATAGCAGGTCCCAGGCTCAAGGGACCCCACAACTGTCCTCAACTGACAGAGCAGAACGAACCAAGAAGAAAGCAAAAAGAAGCTCAAGGTCAGTAGGGGCCCCAGAAATGTGAACTAAAGCCACAAAGCAGATAACACTTTCATATCCATCAGCTTGTTGGCAATCTTAGACAGCAATGACATACAGTGCTGGTACAGATGTGGCGAAATGGGCACCCATGTGCCCATGTGCCCGTATGTGTTACAAAACTTCTATAAAGCCATGCAGAAATGTCCTTTGTGCAGTGATCCCGAGGAACCCATCTACACAGACAAAACCTCCCACACTAGGTACAGGCCTGAGCCCGTTTTACAGCACATTTACAGGAAGAGGAAGAACCTTAATGGCAGTAAATTGCAACTCCAAGACAAAAGAGGGCAGATCCTGTGAAATGCTATCAAAGTAAGGACATGGCACTGGGTATCTGGCCACAGCCTGGAGGGGTCTGGGTGGGGAAGATGTTGCTCTATGCAAACAGCGTGAGCTCAGGCTCAGGCTGCAATAGTACAACACCTGCAGGGAAACTGGCCACAAACCCTCTGAGCAGACTTGTGGGTAAGATATGTGTGCATGTAAGAGATGTACAGAAACACATGAAGGAACATAAACCTGGAGGCTCCTTTAGTTTTAGGGGGCATGTGTGGAGGAGAGATTATTACTTTTTTCTTTGTATCTCAATGCTTTTCACTATTTATAGTAAACCATATATGATTTGTATAATCTTTGAAAACAAATTTAATTATAAATACTCGTTACACTGACCAGAGCCTACAGAAGAAGTCAGCACAGGCTTTGAGGCCTTGGTTATCTGGCCTCCTTCTGGCTCCCATGATAACTTGCATGGTGACTCCCTCCCACTCTCCACCAACCAAACCAAGGCCAATATCTGCCCAAGGGCTAACTGGTCACTCACAGGTGTCAGGAGGTGCCTGGGTCTCGTTGGGTTCCAGGTCTTCACTGGCCCTCATGGGGCCACCTGGTAGTAACAGACAACAAATGCTCAGCATGCTCCCCACACTCCCCCTTGCTCAAAGCTGTAGACAGCCCCATGGGAGACTCAACAGCATCCATGCTTATACTCGAGGGGTGGGGAAGCCCAAAATTGAGAGATGTGCTAAGAATGACACAATAAACCTGCAGGGGGTGGACATGGACACAAGCTTCTGACCTTGAGCCCAAGACTCCAGGCCCCCATCACCACCAGTCCCTTAGGTCCCACCCTCAGATGTGAAAGAGACTCTGCCCACCTACCCCCAGTACTCCTCTTCTTACCATACTGAAGGGGGGCAGAAACAAATGCCCAGAACATTTACTTGGTTTTTAAAGGGATGGTTCCTCCCTGCTTCCTTATATTTGAAAGGCAGATGTAAGGGCAGGTACCCTAGAAGCCTTCCTGGCTCATGAGGCAAGTCTGGGCAGGGTGGCGGGGCTGTATCCCCTGCTGAGAAGCTACCCCCCAGCTCAGGATTGCTCACTTCTGTGCTTCTTATATAGGGAGGGACTCAACTCTCAGGTAAGCCACTGACTAGAGTTTGGGCTCTATGCTGTCAATTTTACTGCTTCCAGACTGACCATGCTCCTTCACATTTCTTCCATGGTGTACTCTCCTCTGGGGTAGTTGCCTCACCTGGCTCTTCTAGGGCCTTGGTAAGGTCCTTCACCAAGGAGGCAGCCTTCTTGCAGTTCTCAGGATGCTGAGCCACCACCCAGGGCCGTACTTTGTCAGGCAGGACACTTAGGAACTGCTCCAGGACCAGGAGCTCTAGTATCTCCTCCTTGGAATGCACCTCAGGCTGCAGCCACTGGCGGCACAGCTCATACAGCTGGGTCAGGGCCTGGTGGGGCCCAACTGCTTCCTGGTAGATGAAGTTCCGGAAATTCAGCCGGGAGAACTCAAGGTTGGTAGGAACCTTCCCAAGGGCCGTCTTGGGTTCCTCCTGCTGGTCTCCAGCTATTGATCCTAGCATGGGCAGTTCTGGGGTAGTTAGGGAGCTCCTGGGGGTGGCAAAGGCTTTCTCCAAAGGCAACATCTTTCCAAACCTGCACTGGGAAATAGGGCTACCCAGGGACAGAGCACGTGTGATGGAGGGTGAATTCACGTAACTGCAGCTGCAAGGGAGACAGCAGGGACAGCGGGATGCTCTTAGATCTCAGCCAGAATCCAGACCTGCACAGGACAGACAAAGATGCCTACACAGTGAGAAGCCAGTCATGGGGCATCCATTCCAAAGGAGAACAAGCAGGGTCCTCTGAGCTCATCAGCCCCACCCACCAAACCCGAGTCCAAGCAGAATTATTTCCAAGCCATCTGCTTGCTAAGTATCAGTAGAGTTTTATACTTTTACAGACAAAAATTAACATAAAAAGTAGGAGATGGAAACTCATTTTGTAAGACTGCTATTATCAGGTTAAAAAAAAAAAATAAACTCATGGCAGCCTGGTGGCTCAGCGGTTTAGCGCCACCTTCAGCCTAGGGTGTGGTCCTGGAGACCCAGGATCGAGTTCCATATCTGGCTCCCTGCATGGAGCCTGCTTTCTCCCTCTGCCAGTGTCTGTGCATCTCTCTCTCTCTCTCATGAATAAATAAATAAAATATTAAAAAACAAACAAACAAACTCAGTCACAGCTAAAAGAAAAGTTACAGGATGATCTCACTTTTAAATATCTTAAAACATTACTAAACTCATTCCAACAATGCATACTTGAAACATGTGATTATTATGCCAGATTTGGGTGTATCCCAGACCTCCTTTCATGTTTGGAAGGGGGCGGTATCATGACTGCTCCTCTCAAGACAACTAAAAATACAGTTGACCCTTGAACAATACAGGTTCGAAGGGCATGGTTCCACCTACTGTCAATTTTTTTTAAATGCATACAGTATAGGGCAGCCCCGGTGGCGCAGTGGTTTAGTGCCACCTGCAGCCCCGGGTGTGATCCTGGAGACCCGGGATCGAGTCCCACATCGGGCTCCTTGCATGGAGCCTGCTTCTCCCTCTGCCTGTGTCTCTGCCTCTCTCTCTCTCTCTGTGTCTCATGAATAAATAAATAAAATCTTTTAAAAAATGCATACAGTATAATACTGTAAATGCATTCTCTTTAAAATTACAAATATTTTATTGTAAAAATACAGTATATAAAACGTGTTATATATAAAATATTTTTTTAAAGATTTATTTATTCATGAGACACACACAGAGAGAGAGGCAGAGACACAGGCAGAGGGAGAAGCAGGCTCCATGCAGGGAGCCCGATGTGGGACTTGATCCTGGATCCTGGGATCAGGCCCTGAGCCACCCAGGCATCCCCATACAAAATATGTTAACCAACTGTTTATGTTATCAATAAGGCTTGCAGTCAACAGCACACTACCGGTAGTTAAGTGTTCGGGAAGTCAAGAGTTATACACAGATTTTGGACTATGCCCTAACCTTCACCTTGTTCCGAGGACCAACTGTAGATCACTGGTCAACAATATCTATTTCTGGAAATGGCACAGGACTGCAGAGGTTGCCTGGCCCACCCACAGAACCAGGTGGGAGGTATACATTGGCCAGGAGTAGGGTACAATGGTTGGGGGAGAGGGGAGACTGGTATTTAGGTCCTGGGTGTTCATTACCTGCTCGGCCCTCTCCCCACCCCCAGCTGACCCTGACAGGTAGTGGAATCATTCATGAGAAGTGAGATTTGGGATATTTAGGTGAAATTTCTTGACTGTAACTTTTGGCAAACAGTGAGCAAGCTGGAGGACAGAACCTGGCAGGCCGCTACTGGCCAGGCCTCCAGCTGTTGGCTCTGGGCTCATGATGCTTTCATGGGCTGTGAGCACACAGGTACATGAACTCCAGCTCCTCCCAGACCCTGTTGGGTCTGCACTTCTCCCTGAATAACCAGAAGAACCACAAACCCCACTGGGAGGGAGACATCCCAGACAAGAGCTGTACCCAAACCCAGTGGGAATGCTCTCCTTGGCTGAATCAAAGAAACGGTTTTCTTCCAAACACATCTGAGGAATTCGAGAAATCTGTGTGATCAAAGCTGTGGTGAGGATGTTTTCTCAGCAATCCCACTTTTACAGAGAAAACTGCAATATGGGACTGGGCATCAATGACCTCCTCCAATGAAAGTGAAGAAGTGTTCTAACATTTCACCAGGGCAGGGCCCAAGGATGTTGCAGCTGTGGGGGTGTTTGATTCCAGTTATATGGAGTGTCCAGAATAGGCAAATCCACAGAGATGGGAAGTAGCTCAGTGGTTGCCAGGGACAGAGGAGGGGGTCTGGGTCAGAGGGACTGCTAACGGGCACAGCCATTTCTTCCTGGAGTGCTAAAATGTTCTAAAACAGAGTGTGGTGTTGGTTGTACAACTCTGAAAATGCGAAAAATTACTGAATTGCACTTTACACAGGCAATGGTATCTCAATAAAGCTGTTTAAAAATAGAGGGGGAAAAAAAGGTTGGCAGAGGGCCAAGGGCCTACTGCTCCCCCTCTCAGAAGCTAGACAGATGTCAGAAGACATGCCACACAGAGTTCCCGTTTCCCTTCAGGAAAAGAGAGCTATGCTGTGCCACTACCACCCCCTCACTCTCCCTCCTCCATTCCCCTCCCACACCCTTACCTCACCCCACCCTGTTCCCTACAGCACTCTTTTCCAGTCCCACACAGGTCTGGGCTCTAAAAGGGCCCCCAAGGAGACCTTCCTTCCACCTCCACCTTACTCCCTCTTTCTTAGCTGCCTATCTGCAGCCTCATCCTCTGGAATGTATCCCCAGGAGAGCAGAGGCTATTCACAGGCAAGCCTCTGGGCAGTGCCTGGCTCAGCATTTGTTAACTGCATAATTTTTTTTAAATTCATTTATAAAAAAAAAAAAACTCATTTATTTTAGAGAGAGCCCAAGAGGGTGGAGGGACAGAGGAAGAGAGAATCTCAAGTAGACTCCCTATTGAGCATGAAGCCCCACACAGGGCTCTATCCCACAACCTGAGCAGAAATCTAGAGTCAGACACTCAACCAACTGCGCCACTGAGGCGCAAATACATAAATTATTTCTAATTGGCGCCAGTTCTCTATTAAGAGGCATACTAACTATGCTTAATTTCTGTTGCCATTATCCTCATATCCGTCTATCTGGGATCAGGTTGGAGATATATTTGGAAGGTAATTGTAGAAGTGGGATACCTGGACCACTGGACATGTGCTGTGACCCACAGCAACTCATAGGAGGCAACCTAACCCTTGCCACCCCACTATAGTAGTGGGTGCCCCCTCCTCACCTCTGCATTGGGGACCCTCAGACCATATCACACACTTATCGCACTCTGTGGGTCACCTGCCTGGTTTCTGATGGCATTTTTTTTTACAGCTCCCTTTCTTATAGGTAAGTAAAGTGGTCTCTGTACAGCTTGGTCTTACCAGTGTCCAGCTCTGTGGCTTTTCAGTTTGTGCTGTTTTAGCTTTAACATTCTAAGATTTATTGCCAAATTTGCTTTTCTTTTTCCCTAAATTTCTGTGTCCCAAAACTTGTTTATAAAAAGCTTCCTTCCCTACCTCAGGATTAGAAATGCCCTCCTGCAGTGACCCTGCTAGAGCCATGAGTGGCAAATGCAGGACAGCCACTCTAGTTATGACTAACTTCGCCATGTGATAAAAGCAGCCAAAGGACCTGTATGCCCTGGGCTGCCGTGCCCCCATGACCAAACAGGCTGCTGCTTGGCCTTCCAGACTCTACTCTTTAACCATGTTTCTACCACTAGCAAATCAAGAGCCTCACCTAGCAAGAGAACTATTGCCAGCTCCACCCAGCTGGCACAGCCATACTTATCCCAACAGGCACAGGACACATGGAGCTCTACATGGCATACAGACATATGTGTGGTTACGCAAGCGATTTTGGTTTTCTTAGGATGCCACAGGCATGGTCATTCTCTGCAGATATTTGTCTCCATAAAGTTACTTTCAAGTCACTAATATGTGGCTGCACAGGTCTCACCTTCCTTCATCAGAGCTTCACAACCTGGTCATGCTGCTGCAAGGATGTTCTTGCTGGGCAGAGGGACCCCCAGAACTTCCTGTCCCCAGTGTCCTTGAGTAAGGCAATTCCCCATTGCCCAAATTCCTCCTGGCTCAATCACCAGGCAGTCAGTCGGTCATTCCCTTCTAAGCCCCATCACACACACATTTTGGGGCCATCCAAGATTTGCCTCAAATGGGGATGGAAATTTCCTGGAGCTTAGGCTCCCTCCACAGACAAATCCTGGGATACAGAGGAAGCCTTGAGGGGGCAGGGAGCGGGTGGGCAGGTGAACTGAGAGGTCCCCAAGTGCTGTGAGCCTCCTGTGCGCAAATCCCTTTCACACCAGGCTAAGGAGAGCTGAAGCTTGACTCCTAACTCCTCAGCTCTATCTCCAGGCCTGCCCTGCCCTACTTCCCCCTCTCCCCACATGCTTATCTAAGGTGTCTGAGGATATAGAGGGGCTCTGGGAGTCACCCAGTAATTACATATTCATTATAAAGGGAGGAAATAGTGCCTTTAGAAGGAAAAAACATGGACCAAGGATCATTTTTAACTAATCTGTTGTCTTCTATGATTCCTTCCAATACGCAAACTCTGGATCCACTCTCGAGGACAGACCCAAATCAATAAAGGTCCTACATAACTGGCCTGGGCTTCCCAAAAGCCTCAAACAGAACTCAAAAGACAGGAACTCACATACCCAAAGAACATGCAGAGAAACAACAATTTACATGTGGCCCTGGACTAGTCCTAGACCAGAAAAGGTACAGGACGTTGTTGAGTTGGCTGGGGCAATGGGGGACCAGACCCTGGTATGGAGAGGTGGACGGTGGGGCTGTCCAGCTGAGCCTCCTGGGGGTCAGCGGAGACACAGGACTGTGAGAGGGGACAGGCTGAGGAGGGAGGAGGGAGGAGGGAGGGGCAGGCTGAGGGAGAGGGGGAGGATACGTGGAATGAGAAGACAAGGTGATGAGAAGACACGGTGATGTACACAGAAAACAAAATACTAACAGGAGAATATGACCAAAAAGCATGCAGTTCTAAGACCTTTCCTTAGAACTCTTCTGAACTTTTTTTGTTTGTTTTTTGTTTTAAATAAAAGGTATCCTCAGTCGTCCCCAGTCCCCTTGCCGGCTCCTCCAGGAGCAGCATCAGGGAGTCATTCTTGCCCGTCTCTTGGGTTTCTTCGCCCACCAACGGGGTCCTAGAACAGGAACAGACACATCTAATTCAAAGTGAACCCAACCCCAGGCTGCAGGGCGTTCGAAGGCCTCAGGGAGCCGGGGCAGAGACAACTCCTCCCCCCACGCCCCACTTCGGGCGGCTCCGCACCTCCCCCTCGCTCAGCTGGACGAACACAGGGTACCTCAGCCCCCTCCCCGCTCCCACCCCTAAAAGGCACCCTCAACCTTTAGGTCCCTTCTCGTAATCCCCTCCCTCTCCCAGGCCACAGGAGGAAGCCCTCAACCCTTCTCTATTCCCACATCCAGGGGTAGCCATGCCCCTCCACCTGTAATCTCTCAGCTCCCCTCGCCCCTCCCTCGGGGGAATCGCACCCCCCACCTCACTCCCACTCCAGGGGCTCCCAGTCTCCTTCCTTGCCCTGACGCTGGCCCCCACCCCAGAATCCCTCCCTCCCCTCCCCCACCCGGGGTCTCTCCCTGCCCCCACAGCAGGTCACCTCCGAACAAAGCTGCGCGGCGCGCACTGGCAGGACCGCTACGATCCGCTCGGGAAAAGCACGTCGTAGCACCCTGCTGCCGCTGGCCAGACCCAACCCTCGCGTAGCGGTCTCAGGCCCGTTCCAGCCGCTAGGAGCTCGGCGCGATGGCGTCCGATCAGACTGCGCGTGTGCACTGGGCCAGGGCCGCGGACCACGACTCTCAGAATGCAGCGGGCCGTTCCGCAGGGCGAGGGCGGGGCGAAGATCCAACAGTGACCGGATAGCCAATCAGAGGCGGAACTAGCCTCGCTCAGCGCCTAGGCCTCCCGTGCGCCTGCGTCATTTTCGAGCCTTGGCAACGCAGGGAAGAATACTGCTCTGAGAACCAGAGACCAGGAGAGACAGGACGACGCGGAGACAGGCAGTGTCAGAGGAGGGGAAAGACACAAGGGGAGGCCGACAGAGGCACGGAGGAAGGGGAGGTCCAGAGACAGGGAGGCTCAGACATGGATAGAGACCTAGGGACAGCGACAGGGCCAGGGACATTCTGAAATGGGTAGACCCACAATTGGGAAACAAAGATAGAGGCCCAAAGACGGGAGACCTTGAGATAAGAGGACCCAGAGATGGAGATAGAGAAGATGAGCAGCAGAAACGTGGAGACAGCAGAGATGGGATTCAGAGCCTGAGATCAACAGTAGTGTCTCTGGAAATGGAGGCCCGAGACATAGACACAGAGACGCTGATTCGCTGAGAGAGAGAGAGAGAGAGAGAGAGAGAGAGAGAGAGAGAGAGAGAGAGAGACGGGGTCTGCATATCCAGGGACTGATAGAATTGGAAGACTAGCCAAGCTGGCGGCTTCAGGAGTCGCTAAAATGGAGGAAAACGTAACAGAGAAGCAACTGGGGTGACTGATGAGCTCAGAAGCCCAGAATACATGTCACCTCTTCATTAGATGGACCAGCAGGGCAAGGGCTAGGACGCTGCTTACCATTTCAGAATTTTCTAGATAACAGTTTAGAAGACTGACCATTTGTGCAAACTGACTTTTGTTTAATTAGAGAGAGGTGAGAGGGGCAGACCGAGAGGGAAAGAGAATCTTTAGCAGGCTCCCTGTCCAGGATGGAGCCCTTCCCCAGTCTCCATCTCAGGATCCTGAGATCATGCATGACCTGAGCTGAAATCAAGAGTGGAAGCTTACCTGTCTGAGCCACCCAGGTTCCCCTGTGCAAACTGATTTTTTAAAACTTTTATATGAACAGGTCATTTTATGTATTTTATTTAAATACAACACTACTCACATTTTGGGGTATTCAGTTCTATGAATTTTAACTTGTACAACCACCGACACAAAACAGAATAGATCCACTGTAGAACAAACTCCTTCCTGATACTCCTCTCTCCCACCCACAGCCCTGGCAACCACTGATGTTTTCCATGGCTATAGGTTTATACTTTCCAGAATGTCACATAAATACAATCTCAGAGTAGGCAGCCTTTTGAGATTTGCTTTTTTTCACTGAACATAATTCCTTTGAGATCCATTCACGTCGTTTCAATAAATAAATAATCTTTTTTTTTTATTTACGATAGTCATACAGAGAGAGAGAGAGAGGCAGAGACACAGGCAGAGGGAGAAGCAGGCTCCATGCACCAGGAGCCTGACATGGGATTCGATCCCGGGTCTCCAGGATCGCGCCCTGGGCCAAAGGCAGGCGCCAAACCACTGCGCCACCCAGGGATCCCTAAATAAATAAAATCTTAAAGATGCCCAACATTCATAGGAATTCATTCCTTTTTATTACCAAGTAGTATTCAATGGTTTTGATACACCACAGTTTGCTCAAATATTCACCCACTGAAGGACACTTTGTTTCCAGTATTTTGCTATTACAAATAAAGCTGCAATGAGCATTAGTATAAATGTTCGTGTGTGAACCTTCATAAGTCTTCATTTCTCTCAGATAAGTGACCAAGAGTGCAACTGCTTAGTTATATGATAAGCAGATATTTAGTGTAGTAAGATACTATCATACTCTCTTCCAAAGTAGTAGTAACCATTTTATATTCCCAGCAGCCATGTATCTGTGAACGTTTCTCCATTCCTACTACCATTTGGTGTTATCGTTTTATTTTTTTAAGTAATCTCTACATCAAACATGGGGGTAGAACTTAAAACCCTAAGATCAAGAGTTGCATACTGCACCTGCCAAGTCAGCAAGTTGCCCCCATATTTTTTAAATTTTAGCCATTCTGGTAGATATGTAATTACATCTCATTGTGATTTTAATTTGCATTTCTCTAATGATTAATAATGTTGAACATATTTCCATATTCTCCATCTATATATCCTCTGCAGTAAAACATCTGTTCAAGTCTTTTGTCCATATTTTTGTTTAAAAAAAACCTGTTGAGTTTTGAGAGATATTTATATATTCTAGATACATTCTTTGTCAGATACATGTTTTGCAAGTTTTTCTCCCAGTCTGTAGTTTGTCTTTTAATTCCCATAACAGAGCTGTTAGCAGAGCAAAGGATTTTAATTGAAATGATTTTCAATTTGTCACTTTTTCCTTTAATGGATCTTTTTGTAGCAAGTTTAAGAACATTACTTAACCATAAGGATTTCCTCTTATATTTTTTCTGAAAGTTTTTTAAAATTTTTATTTATTTGAGAGAGGGGAAATATTAGTGGGAGGACAGTGGCAGAGGGAGAGGAAGAGAGAGAAGCAGGCTCCTGGTTCAGTGGAGAGCCCAGCGTGAGGCTTGATTCCAGAATGACCGGATCATGATCTATGCCAAAGGCAGACACTTAACTGACTGAGCCACCCAGGCACCCCTTTTTCTAAAAATTTTAGAGTGTTTTTACATGTAACTTAATCATCAATTTTCATTTAATTTTTGTGAAGAGGTGAAATTAATGTTGAAGTTCATTTTTTTTCCTATGAATGTTGCGCATTTTTTTTAAGATTTTATTTATTTATTAGATAGAAAGAGCACAAGCAGGAGGAGTACCAGAGAAAGATAGAACTAGGTTCCCTGCCAAGCAGGGAGCCCCATGTGGGGTTCGATCCCAGTACCCTGGAATCATGACCCAAGCTGAAGGCAGACATGTAACTGACTGAGCCATCCTAGCGCCCCAGGCATCTTTCTTCTGACACTAATTCTAACACCAAATGTGTAGGATTCTTCCAACACCACCCAATTCTCCAACCCATCTGGATGTCCAATAATTCAATTCTGAGACTACCTAGAATTAGGGCAACCTCCACAGGTCAAGGGCTTAGGCACACAAGACTATTCCCACTCCAGATGCCAGCCATAACCTACACACACTTCTGCTCACTGACTACAAATTTAGTGGATCCCCAGACCCTACCTCAGGCTTGAGAATTCACTAGAATAACTCACAGAATTTAAGAAAACATTTATGCTTACCAATTTAGCAATAAAGGATGTAACTTAGGAATATCCAAAAGGAAGAAATACATAGGGCAAGGTTTGGGAGGGGGATGGTTTACACAAATCTCCTTTGCATTCTCCAGGAATGCCTCCCTCTTAGCACATCAATGTGTTCACCAGTCAGGAAGCTCTCTGAATCTCCTTGTTCATGATTTCTTATAAACAAATCTTCAGCCCACCTTCCCTCTCTGAGGTCAGGGTGTGGAGCTGAAAGTTCCCACCTTCCTTCTAGTGACCATTACCCATCCTGAAGCTATCCAGGGGACCTAACCTAAATCACCTTATTAGCATAAACTCAGGTATAGTCAAAAGGGGCTCTTTATGAATAACAAGACACTCCTGGGATGCCTGAGTGGCTCAGTGGTTGGGCGTCTGCCTTTGGTTCGGGGCATGATCCCTGTCCTGGGGTCAAGTCCCGCACTGGACTCCCTGCAAGGAGTCTGATTTTCCCTCTGCCTGTGTCTCTGCCTCTCTCTGTGTACCTCTCATGAATAAATAAATACAATCTTTTTTTAAAATTTTTTTTATTTATGATAGTCACACACACACACACACAGAGAGAGCGAGAGAGAGAGGCAGAGACGTAGGCAGAGGGATAAGCAGGCTCCATGCACCGGGAGCCCGATGTGGGATTCGATCCCGGGTCTCCAGGATCGCGTCCTGGGCCAAAGGCAGGCACTAAACCACTGCGCCACCCAGGGATCCCAAATAAATAAAATCTTAAAAAAAAAAAAAAAGACACTCCTATCACTAAGGAAATTCTAGGGATTTCCTCTAGGAATGTGGACAACCAAATATGTTTTGTTACATAATAGATACCCAACTGCTCCAACACCATTCATTAAGAAGGCTATCCTTGGGGCACCTGGGTAGCTCCATC